TTTTTGCCTCATGCACATTAGGAGAGATCACCTGGCATAAAACAAGTTATCTACACAAGTCTGAATCTCTTGGATTTAAAGAAGGTCGCCTCTTCTGTGTGCCCTTCCATTCATGCTTTCTCTCACATTTATTTCCTTGTTCCAATATCCAGTTTCATTGGGCAGCAAGGAAATCTTACCTTTTGTGATAGCATGAATGGACCTGGAGATTATTTTGCTAAGTGAAATAACCCAGTCAGAGAAAAACAAATACCATATGATCTCACTTATATGTGGAATCTAATGAACAAAATAAACTGATGAACAAAATAGAAACAGGTATGGATACATGGAACAGACTGACAGCTGTCAGAGGGGAAGGATGAGGGGAGGACTGGATGAAGGAAGGTGAAGAGATTAGCCAAAAAACATATAGGCATAATCCATAGACACAGACAACAGTGTGGTGATGGCCAGAGAAAAAGCAGGCTGAGGGGTGGATGGGGGTGGGCAAAGGGGCAAAAAATGGAGACAGAGAAACTTTTCTTGGGGTGATGGGCATGCGATGCAGTGTGAAATTGATGTTTTATTGAGTTGTACACTTGAAATCTTTATGTCACCCCAATAAATTCAGTTAAAAAATAAAGGTGACACAATCTGAATTATAGGAAAAAAAAAAAAAAAAAGATTGGCTCAGTTCTCCAGGATGGAGGCTCCCAGGCCTGTGTGACACCAACAGCGTGTGACTTCATGAGCAAACTTGCTCCACCAACTCTAGATAAACAGTTGGATTTTTTAGTTTAAGGCTTTCTTCCTGAGAAAGATGAAAATCCCTCTAAGAGAATAATAGCATTTTGAGCCACATTGGACATTCACTGTTCACAGAGAAAAAAGAGAAACAAAATCATTCAAACAAAAGCGCACAGAACTTGAGGCAGGCAGTGTTAGATGTACACTTTCATACTCCACAGTTGCCTGGGACTTAGCCTTTTTGTTCGTCATCTGTGAAATTAATTGAGAGGCCTGTGCTTCCTTATCATTAGCTTTTGGAGACGGCCAATTTTGCAGACTACCTATGCCCTTTGACATAGACAAAAAAAAAAATGCCCAAACTACTAGGGGAGACTAGCATAGGGTCTCTGGTGGGGTCCTCAGAATGAAGAGACTCAATTGTAAACTTCAGGGACCTGGTAGGTGCTGGGGGTGGGGGAGTATGGGCTAACTTCAGATCTTAGGCCTATGTCCCCAGTCTCCCAGGCTCTGCCTATGGTACAATATGTACAGCTTTGTTTGACTAGTTACCTACTGGATGCTGCTATGTTGCTAACATCGTGTTTTTCCTTGGCTGTGAATTTGATGGCTTGTTGAGGAATCTCTTTTCAGTACAATTTTTGGTTAAAGCATTTTGCCAATATTCCCAGCCTCTGCTTTGCTCCTTTGGTAAGTGTCCTTCGAGGGAGATGCTGACATTCAGCTCTTTGTAACTGTGAAATCTGTATCTAATCTCTGGATTGAAATATCCAGTTGTCTACTATGAATACTGGAGTTATAGCAAAGGACGTGGGGACTGGGCTGCTTTTCTGTCTTACAAGTATCATTATGGAAATTAAAGAAAGTTAACCACAAAAAAGAAGATTTAAAAAGGACTGACCTCTTTAAACTACCTATGCACAAATAAAATTGATGTTGAGAATGTTTTTCAGGAAATGCAATGAAAGGTCATATTGTCTCCAAAGGTGGGTGCTCTGGAATAAATGTGCTCCAGGGTATAAACATGGATATGAGATATTGGTATAGGTATGCTGGGCCATGTGTCTGTAGTTGAGATGGGCCCACCATGAGCAGCTCTGTGTGGGGGTACATGTGCACACTGGCTTTAACTAACTTCCTTTGGCATGTGTTAGTGGGTGTGCAGTTTGGTTTCTGGGCAGAACTCACAAGTTTGAGCTGACTGCTGACTGACCTGTCTTCCACATGTTCTGTGCTAAGACAGATTACTCTCACAGAACCTAGTCCTCAGAGAGCCTAACTCCTTCAGCTGGCTGCTCCCTGAATGAAAACAATTAGTTTGATAATGCACTGAAGAGGAAGTAAGAGGAAAGGAAACTAAAGTGAGAATGGCAGTGAGAAACTTCCAAATAGCTTTTAGTTTTTAATCTGTTAAGAAAAATTTCTCCACCATTGCCTAGGACAGATGTCAGGCAGACTCAGCAGGTTCTCTGCTTAGGGTCTCAGAAGGCCAAACTCAAGGCGTCAGCGGGTCTGGGTCTGGGACCTCCTCTGGACACTGAGGGGAAATCTATTTCCAGGCTCCTGAGGTTGTTGGCAAAATTCAGTTCTGTGTGGTTATGGGGCGGAGATCCTCGCTTCTTTGCTGGCTTTTGGTCAGAGTTTCTTCGTTTTGAGAGGCAGCCTGGGTTTGCTCTGCTCATGGCCCCAGGATCTCCAAACCAGCAGCTGCGCTGGACTCCGCTGGCCACGAACCTCTGACTCCCGCCGCCTCTCCCTTAAACAGTTTTTGAATTCTTCTGGTTGAACGCATGCTTATTTATTATTATTATTATTATTTTTTAATCCTCACCCAAGGACATTTTTTGGTATTTTGTTCAGACAGAGCGGGAGAGGGCGAGAGAGGAAGAGAGGAAGAGAGACAAGAGAGAGAAACATCGACGTGAAAGGGACACATCGAGTGGTTGCTATCTGCACGACCCATCCAGGGCCGAGGACAAACTGCAACCAGGGTACATGCCCTTAGCGGGAACCGAACCCGGGTCTCTCCGGACCGCAGGCCGACGCTCTAACCACTGAGCCAAACAGGCAAGGGCTGTATGCTTATTTTTTTTATTTTTATTTTTATTTTATTTTTTTTATCCTCACTCGAGGACATTGTTCCATTTTTTGTTCAGATAGAGTGGAAAGGGAGAGAGAGAGAGAAACATCGACGTGAAAGGGACACATCGAGTGGCTGCCACCCGCACAACCCAACCAGGGCCGGGGACAAACTGCAACCGAGGTTCGCGCCCTTAGCGGGAACCAAACCCAGGTCTCTCGGGACCGGGACCGCAGGCCGACGCTCTACCGCTAAGCCAAACCGGCCAGGGCTGTATGCTTATTTTTAAGACCTTCATTTCCCCCACTCAAGGCTCTCTGTTTTTTGCCCTTTTATTACTACTTTTCCTTCCACGTGGTCTTAAAGAATTGTGGGAACTTTCCCAATTACCTTTCACCTTGCATTTTGGCACATAAACTCAATGAGATGGACTTTGCTGCCTTATTAGTCATTGACTTCACAGATCCCTTGCTATGTACACACCCACGGATACAAATTTATTTCTCTCTGCAATTTTTCTCCTTCAGGCTACTCCTCTGTTTACTTGGGCTTATGTCAATCAACCACATAGCTGTCTGTCTTCTAAGTTGTAAGGAACTTGCCCCTCCCCCCCCAAAATTCACGGAGCTCCAGGAACAGTGAAAAGGGGGCTTGGCTGGAGCTGAGAAACTTGTTTACATGTGTGTCCCAGGCACTAAAAGACTCTGCCTCAGTAGATAGCACTGTGGTTATTAGTGTGAATAATAAAACACAATATGTAATATGATATGGCTATTTAAACACATGTACAATATTGTATACCATATAAGCTACCATTCTAGTAGATCAAATACTTAGAATTACCTAGATAGTGGAAAAGCAGTATATTTTGTTTCAGATCAATCAGAAATAAGTAGGCTTTGCTGACCATAGAGCCAGGGGAGACTCTCGTTAACAAAAATGTGGTTTATAGATATACAGGAGGGTGGTAACCGCCAGTTCTTTTTAGAAAGAAAGATCCAGGGTTTTGGAAGTATCATTTCAAATATATACTTATTATACAGATTTAAAAGTGATTCACATGAAAAGTCTCTTTAATAACGATAATCTACTTGAAGGAGAAGATGGGTTGAGAGAAAGATTTTTATGGAATATTATTTTACATTTTTACTTTTGAACAATATGAATGTTTCCTTTTTGTTTAAAGGGGGGGGGGGGGAATGAGAAGATGGCTTGATCCTGACACTTCTTTAACCTATTTATTGGTAAGAATGAGTGTTTGTGTCTATCTACATATGATGGGCAAAGGGAAGTTCCTTGGAACTCTGAGAGCTGCAGATTTAATAGCTTTTATTGATAAATGCTGTTTGTTCATGGTTGTGAAGCGGTAGTGGGAGAATGTTTCAGAGAAAGAAAGCAAATGCATAACTCATCTCTCTTGAAATCTGCCAACTATTTATTCATTGTCTTCATTAGCTTTGTATAGAAATGAAACGAAATACAGGGTGGGGCAAAGTAGGTTTATAGTTTTGAGTACATGAAATGCATGTTTACTCTTGTATTGTTATTTATTAACTATTGTATCATTTTCTACTGTACACATACTTTTGCTCCACCCTGTATTTTGTTTTAAAAATAAATGATACACAGCAAAAGAAAATTAGACCTGCATAAGGACAATAGAGGAGGTAGATCTTTCCCACATAACCCAGGGACCACAATTGCTCAGACAGGTGCTGTGAACATGTACTTGAGCAAGGGAGCTGGATTTTAGATAGGAGGGGAGTGTTTAAAAATATTTTGAGAAACAATGGCATGAAAGGATAAGACCAGATAGGGTTGTACTTGCTATATAAAAGAGAAAAATGCCAGGAAAAGAATAAAATTCTTGCCCTGGTTGGGTAGCTCGGATGGTTAGAGTGTTGTCTCAATACACCAAGGTTAAGGGTTTTATCCCTGGTCCCGGCACATACAAGAATCAACCAATGAATGCAAAAGTAAGTGGAACACCAAATCTCTCTCTCTCTCTAAAAATCAATCAATCAATATTTTTTTTTTAAAAAAAGGATAAAATTCTTCCAGCCTGAATATCAGGTAGATGGACAGAGATCAATGTATGGCTCAGAGGATTCCAGGCAGCCATGTACTTAATATCTAGTGATCTGTAGATGTCTTTTAAAGTTCTCTGTGTGTTCCATTTTACTTTTTTCAGAACGGCCTCATCCTTGGGAGTTATTCTCAGCCGTGCCCTGTGCATTTTCTGCGGATCAAGCATAGGAGTGGACAGCCGTGTGGCAGCGGGAGAGGGGAGGGCCATGACACAGGTGCTAAAGAAATGCAGTCTCAGTGACAAGTTGTGCAGTAAGTATGGATGTCTATGTTCTGATCTTAGAATAATGAAGACGAAGGTCTGCATAGATTCCAGGAGGAGAATGTTTTGATTTGTGGTAAAAGTAAAGACAGTATTGATAAAGAAATTGGCAATAGAGCCGTTGTTTTCAGAAAGTGGTTAGTGCCAATCAGAGATCCAGATACTGCATTCTTTATCTCTATTGGAAAAATATAAGAAGAGGCACAAAGCATACCTGTTGGGCTAAGAAAGAGGGATGTTCTCTTTTTTTTTTTTTAATTATTTTATTTATTTATTTTTGTTACAGATGTTTCTTCTTTTCCCCCCACTGATTCCCCCTCTTCCTCCCTCCCCACCTTGTCCCCACCTTTGTTGTCCATGTCCATTGTTCATACATACATGCATATAAGTTCTGTGGTTTATCTCCCCTGCCCCCCGCCTTCTGGGGATTGTCAGTCTGTACCCCACTTTGTTGGCAGTTCTTATTAGAGAGTTGCTCTCAGTAGGGTTTTCATTGAATGGAAGAAAGAAGAGGTGACCATCTCTGTATGATGAACTGAGGACTGGTGGGTAGGACTTCTGTGGACATCAGGTTAGGTTTCTTTTTTATCTCTTCTGTTCTTGTTTCATTTTCTACCCAGTTGTCTGGCAGCAGCAGTATGAAATCATCATCATCCCAACCTTTCTGGTTGGCATCTTCCTCATCATTCTTGGGGTCATCCTGTGGCTCTTTCTCAGAGGAAAAAGAACTCAACAACAGTCTCCTGGACTCCAAGGTAAAGCTCAAACTGGGGCTGGAGAGAGGCTTGGGGAAGATAGAAATTGCAAAAAATAAAATAAAATCCAAGTCTCAGTGGGTCCAAATTTAGAGGTCTAGGACCCTGCAATGGAAAAGAGGCATGGGTCTCTTCCTGTGGGGTTGAGAGACGGGTGAGCCCTTCTCTAGGAAGTAGAGAACTCATGAATAGAGCCCTGGCCGGTTTGGCTCAGCTGTTAGAGCATTGGCCTGCGGTCCAGAGAGACCAGGGTTCGTTCCCGCTAAGGGCACATACCTTGGTTGCAGTTTGTCCCTGGCCCTGGTTGGTCATGCGGGAGGCAGCCACTCGATGTGTCCCTTTCACATCGATGTTTCTCTCTCTCTCCCTCTCACTCTGTCTGAACAAAAAATGGAAAAATGTCCTCAGGTGAGGATAAAAAAAAAAAAGAAACAATTTTGTATGTTTCTTCTTGAAACACTATTTTCTCTTTATATTTCCAGTCACTTTATAAATGATCTCATTTTAGGTCTATAGATTCAAATGCTTTCTCAATTGTAATTATAGTCTCCCTTGAACCCCATATTTTTATATTAAATCATATACTTTGCTGTTGGGATCTAATACACCTCTAATGTGTAGTATGTCCAAAACAAAGGTACTAAAGTTCCCTCACAAATATCCTCTGCCAATAATTCCATATTTAAGTAAAAGGCAAATCCAGATCTCTATACGTTCAGTCTAAAATATTAAAGATGTCCAACCGATCCAGTAGCAAACCCTAGCTCTATCTTCAAAATAAACTGATACCACTCTCACCTCTCATAGATCATTGTTACACCCTCCTAACTGGTTTATTTGCTTCTGCCCCATCCCTTCATGATGTATTCTCCTCAGAGTAGCAAGATTATTCTTTTAAAGTGTAAGTCAGTCCTGTCAATTCTCTGCTTGTAACTCCCCAGTAGCTTTCCATCTTAGAGTGAAAAAAGACGAAATTCTTTCGGTAGTCTTACATGGTCTGGGTCCTCTCTGGCCTCCTCTGCTCTAATCCTCCAGTTATTCCACTTGATTCCACTGCACTGACTTCACGACTCTTCCTCAAGTATGCCACGTGTACTCCTTCTTCACGATTTTTGTACTTCTTTTTTTTTTTATCCTCACCCGAGGACATTTTTCCATTTTTTGCACAGATAGAGTGGGAGGGAGAGAGAGGAAGAGAGAGAGAGAGAGAAACATCGACGTGAAAGAGACACATCGAGTGGCCACCACTCGCATGACCAACCAGGGCCGGGGACAAACTGCAACCGAGGTACATGCCCTTAGCGGGAACGAACCCGGGTCTCTCCGGACCGCAGGCCGATGCTCTAACCGCTGAGCCAAACCGGCCAGGGCGATTTTTGTACTTCTTGTTCCCTTTGTCTATAGTACCTTTCCTGATACCATGGAGTTTACTAATTGTTTCCAGGTATTTCTCATATGTCACCATGAAGGCCTTTCCTGACCTTCAAACATGAGATAGTATCACGCTGCTTCTTATTCCCCTGTTTCCTCCATACACTCATCACCTGATATATTATTTTTGGCTTCCTCTCTCCTACCACTAGAAAGTAATCTTCATAAAAATCTGAACTTTTTCCATTCTCAACACCTAGAATTGTGCTTGGTATGTAGAAAGTGATATTCATTGAATAAATTGATGAGTTAATGAATGAATGGATGAATACAAAGAATGAATTCCTGTATTCCAATGGAGAAAAGTTGGCTAAGGAAGGAAGAAAGTACCAGAAGACCTTTTGAATAAAACTCTAATAAATATGGAATAATTTGACCATGGGGACAATTTGAAGGAGGAAGAATAACCATAGCTTAGGGCTGAGTAGTTACCCATACCTCCCCTCTACCATTGGGAGCCATTTGATTGACTTAAATGATAGTCTCCACTGGCAGTTACCACCACCTTTAGGCCTGTGGTTTTGATATCTATTCAGGAACTTCTTCAGTTGTCTCCATATTATATTCATATTGAACTGTGATCCTGAGAAACAGAAAAGAAATGCCATTGCCACTTTCCAGAGGTCATTTTCAGGTGTCTTTGAAGTAATGGGAATTATTATAAAAGTTCTACAAGGTTGGTATTGATGCCAGTTCACAGAGGAGCATCAGAAGACATCCCACAATGGCTGGAGAAAAAATTTAAGGGAACTTCCTTACCAGTTTGTCCCAAACTCTGCTTTCCTGGAGTCTGGAGGATAGGGAAAAGCTGGTTGGTGTTATCTCTTTGTTCTAGGCATTGCCCCTGTGCCTCCTTCTAGGAGCCCAAACGGGGAAGCAGGAGGACATGGAGGAAGTGTGTTCGTGCCACTTAAGGTGACATCAGTGGAAAGCCTTTTACAAACATCCACACATGCCCTGGCTCAGCTCCAGGTACCCCGGGAGCAACTCTCTGAAGTCCTGGAGCAGATCTACAATGGTAGTTGTGGGGCCATCTATCGAACCAAGATGTACACTGAGGACCCTGCTAAGTCCAAGAGTATTGTCCTCAAGACTTTAAAAGGTAAAAGGAGACGTGTTAAACTTCCCCTCCCCTTCTTACTTCTCCACTGTGGGCCTCTTTAACAGTAAATGCTGAAAGGTTTTGCAGACATTAAGATGTTAATCAATAGATAGTTGTGATCACAACTGTGTGCAGAATAAGAAGGGATTAGAAAGTGAAAACTCAAGACAGAAATGTTCTTCTTGGGGTCTTTATTTTTTCCTTAGCTCAAATCTTGCCTATCAAGACTGTTCAAACTTATTTTTCCATATCATTTATTCCTCAGATGAGGATGTTGAGGTGGATTCTTCATTTTTCTCCACTATTTGATATCTTTCCCTGATACTGTATTTCTTTTCTTTTTGATGACACTAATGATATAGGCCAGTACTGGTGAATACATAGAACAGGGATAGGGTAAGCAAGATTATTCATCAAAAGGCCTAGACCATGATAACATTTTACTGTGAACAGAGCACTTGCCCATTTAGGCAGATGAAAGCCTACCTAGTTGTAAGACCTATGACTCTGTTACCTTTGACAAAAGATCAGTGAGGATCATCTTCTAATTGGTTCCCTTTCTATTTACTTTTTGTCTATATTCACTCCTCTTGAGAGCCTTGAGAATTATCATCTGAGGTTGCTTCCTGCCTCAAACTTCCCGTTTTATCTGAAATGCTCTGACTGTTCACTGCTCACGGCTCTTCTGTTTTCCACAGAACCAGCTAGGCTCCACGAGATACAGGATTTCTTAGGCCGAATTCAATTCTATCAGTACCTGGGGAAGCACCAGAACCTGGTACAGCTGGAAGGCTGCTGCACAGAAGGAGAGCCACTCTATATGGTGTTGGAAGATGTGGCCCAGGGGGATCTGCTTGGCTTTCTCTGGACCTGTCGCCGGGTGAGCAGGAGGGTAGAGGTTTTAGAAAGGAAAGGCTTTACCTGGCTGATTAGCTGTTACTTGCCAATTAGCCTGGCGAGTGACAAGTAGAGAGACATTATAATAGTATCACCATCCAATGGAACTTTAAAAAAATATGTTTTTATGGATTTTTTTTTAGAGAGAGGAAGGGATAGATAGAATCATCAATGAGAGAGAAACATCGATCAGCTGCCTCCTGCATGCCCTCCCCCACCCCACCCACCACTGGGGATCGAGCACACTACACACGCATGTGCCCCGACTGGGAATTGAACCGGGACCTCTCCGTCCATCGGATGACGCTCAGTCCACTGAGCCATACAGCTGGGCCCAATGGAACTTTTTATGATGATAACAGTGTTTTACATCTGCACTGCCCAGTATGGTAGCCACTAATTACGTGTGGCTATGGAACACTGTAGGTGTGGCTGATGTGACTGAGAAGCTAAATTTTTAGTTTTATTTTATTTTAAATAATACACATTTAAATAGCCACAGGTGTCTAATGGCTACTATATTGGGCAGTGCAGACTTAGAGTGTGGACTTTAGGTTCCACCTCCTACCAGCTATGTGAATTTGGCCAAGTCACCTCTCTGAGTCTGAGTTTTCTGAATCTGTAAAATAGGAGTAATCATAAATTATTATTAAAATTAAAAGATATAGTGTATGTAAAAGCATAGCAGTAATTGGTACATAGCAAACACTCAAAATGGTAGCTGTTAATAGTGATAACTACATAACAACATAACTATCTAGTACTAACTGTAATTTTGCAGTTGTTATTGAGAAGCGTGTTTTCCATTCTGTAACATCACCCTAGTATGCCAGGGCTAAGTTGAGAAATTCAGCTTTTAAGCTTTTGTATCTCAAACTAATATTTAAAACAAATAAATTTCCAGACTAAAGTGTAAATCCTTTTCCTTACAGTTTCCCTACTTGTCTATATAGTGCTCTTTCTTTTTTTTCTTTTTCTTTTTTTTAATCTTTATTGTTGAATGTATTACAGATGTTCCTCATTGCCGCCCCTCCCCCCCCATTGACCCCCTCCTCTCCACTCCCGCCCCCCTCCTGCCTTTTCCCACACTGTTGTCTGTGTCTATTGGTTATGCATATATGCATATAAGTTCTTTGGTTTATTTCTTCCCACCCTCCAACCCCCCTTCCCTTTGAGGTTTGTCAGTCTAGCAACCAATTTGTACTTCTTAATTCCTTCACCTTTTTCAACCATTCCCCTATCTCTCTTCCCATCTGGCAACCAACATAATGTTCTCTATATCTATGAGAATGTTTCTGTTTTGCCTGTTCATTTTGTTTGTAGATTCAATTGCCATTTTGTTTGTTCATATTTTTTATCTTTTTCTTCAAGAAGACCCTTCAACATTTCATGTAATAATGGTTTCGTGGTGATGAACTCCTTTAGCTTTTCCTTGTCTGGGAAACTCTTTATATGGCCATCGATTCTAAATGACAGCTTTGCAGGATAGAGTAATCTTGGTTGTAGTTCTTGCTTTTCATCACTCTGAATATTTCTTGCCACTCCCTTCTGGCTTGCAAAGTTTCTTTTGAGAAATCAGCTGACAGTCTAATGGGAACTCCCTTGTTGATAACTAACTGCTTTTCTCTTGCTGCTTTTAAGATTCTCTCTTTGTCTTGAACCTTTTGCATTTTGATGACGTGTCTTGGTGTGGGCCTCTTGGGGTTCATCTTGCTTGGGACTCTCTGTGCTTCCTGGACTTGTATGTCTTTTTCCTTCACCAAGTTAGGGAAGTTTTCTGCCATTATTGTTTCAAATAGGTTTTCGATTTCTTGTTTTCTCTTTTCTCCTTCTGGCACCCCCAAGATGTGAATGTTGGCACACTTGAAGTTGTCCCAGAGACTCCTTACACTATCCTCATTTTTATTTTTTATTTTTTTTTATTCTTTATTCTTTTTGCTGTTCTGATTGGGTGTTTTTTGCTTCCTTGTATTCCAAATCGATGGTTTGCTTCTTGGCTTTACCTACTCTACTATTGAGTCTGTGTAAATTATTCTTTATTTCAGTTAGTGCCTCCTTTATTTCTGACTGGTCCTTTTTATGCTCTTGAGGCCCTCACTAAGTTCACTGAGGTTCTCACTAAGTTCATTGAGCATCCATATAAGCAGTGTTTTGAACTCAGCATCTCTTAGGATGCTTATCTCCATTTCACTTAGTTCTTTTCCTGGGGTTTTGTTCTGTTCTTTCATTTGGGACCTGTTACTTTGTCTCCTCATTTTGGCTGCCTCCCTGTGTTTGTTTCTACGTATTACTTAATGAGAGGTATGGGGCTAGCTGAGACTACATGCTGCTTGTTTGAAAGAAATCAGGAAAACCTGAAGCAGGATCCAAGACAGGCCAATCCTATGGTTAAGTAACTGACAACAGCTTGGGTGGGCCTGAAAGTTGGGTGGGGCGGGGCCTCAGGGAATCACCAGGGCGGGGCAACCAGTGTGAGCCAGATTGCTGGAGTCCCAGATATGGCTTCTGTCTGCCGCCCCAGGGAAGGGCTCACCAAAGGAACAAAGACCCCTCACAGCATGTCTATCCCAGAGAAAGCCCCCTCTCCAGCCCTCACTCTACTGCCAAACAGCTCAGTTCTTCCCTGTATGTCTCTGGCACCCCTCGAGCTGCCTCCCCTCCAAGCTTAGAGGAGTAAGTCCGATAAGTCCGTGCGCGGGCCCTTTAAGGAGCTGCCTGGGGCTCCAGCCGCCTCACTTCCCACTGGTTTTTCCAGCCAGACGTTATGGGGATTCTCTTCCTGGCACTGCAACCCTGAGCGGGGCACCTGTTGTGGGACAGGGACCCCTCAGTTTTCAGGGAGGACCTTCCCAGCCGAGGTGTCCTCCTGATTTTTATCTGCCACCAGTGGGTGTGGGACCAGCCCCTCCGCCCCTCCTACCCGTCTTGATGCAGCTGCTTCTTTAATTCTGTAGTTGTAGGATTTCCCTTCAGCTGGATTTCAGGTGGTTTTGAATGATGGTTGTTCTGTAGTTTAGTTGTAACTTTGATGTGGTTGTGGGAGGAAGCAAGTACCGTGTTTACCTACCCGCCATCCTGACCGGAAGTCTATATAGTCCTCTTTCTGAAACACTGTAGGTTTCCTTAGTCCTTTACTTGCGAATGAACAAGTTTCATATTAAACAAGTCTCCTCAAAATGCTGACTATTTTACTACTAAATGTGTACGAGAAAGGGACCCTGTTACATCTTCCATCCAGTGATACCGATAGGACAATGTGCAAGTTTCTAGGTATTTTAAACCTTTTAAAGAGCTTATCCATCTGTAATTTGTTCTGTGCTCGAAGCTCACTGGCTCCTCTGTTTTCCAAAATTACTCTGCGCCTCTGTTTTGGATCACCTTCACATGCTTTTCTCATTACACCAAACTCCTCCCTTCTCTTCTTTGTGTAGTCAGTGGCCACTCATCCTTCAGATCTCATCAAAACTTTCCTTGTTCCCCAACTGAATCAGCTCTCTTTCCTTCAACATCACATGCTCTCTTTTACATTTTCTTCATGGTGCTTAGAGATATTTAATTATACATTTATGTATGATTATTTGATTCTGATTCATACGTGTTTGTCATGCTATAAACTCCTAAAGGCAATAGATATGTTTATTTTGATCACTCTTATATTCTGTGTTCATAAGATGGAATCTGGCACATAGTAGGATGCAATAAAAAGTGTTAATTAATGTACTTAATTAATCACACACACACACACACACACACACACACTACCCCAAGAAAATTGATGCTTTATTCAGTAGATAAAACATATACTTGTCTTTCGTACCTGCTGTTCTGTTCTTCATTCTGCTATTCATCTACATTCTTTATTATTTTTCCAGTCTAATAAATCATTGTATTTCTTTGCATATCTGAGAATCTCTAATATCAGTCTCTCCTTGAATCTTACAGATTGTTTTTTTTTTTTTTAAATCCTCACCCAAGGACATTTTGCATTTATCTTCAGATAGTGCAGGAGGGAGAGGAGGAAGAGAGAGAGAGAAGCATTGATGTGAGAGGAACACATCAACTGGTTGCCACCCACATGACCCCAGAGGGGACCAGGGACAAACTGCAACCAAGTAACGTACCCTTAGTGAGAACCGAACCTGGGACTCTCTGGTCTGCGGGCCGAAGCTTTAACCTCTGAGCCAAACCGACCAGGGTTGAATCTTATAGTTCTATGTTTTTATATCTTTTTCTTAGCTTTGCTATCTGCATTTAAGATCTTTGCCTATATACAAATTTATTTTTCAAATCTGTTCATGTCATTTTGATATGTTTTTTCTGTCTCTTTAGGATGTGATGACCATGGATGGCCTTCTCTATGATCTCACAGAAAAACAAGTATATCACATTGGCAAGCAGGTTCTCTTGGCTTTGGTAAGCTGAGCAAAATGACAACTGACGACAGGAATTTTTCTTGTTAGCTTGGCATTTGATGATATATTTATATTCCTAAAGGGGTATATATTATAAAGAAAATCAGATGGAAGTTAGGGGGCAGAAACTGAAGCACTGAAAACGTATTTTCAGTTCTTTTTTTATGAAATCATTTAGGTAATATACTATAGGATTGATAATTCTGGGTAGAAAGTAGTCAATTTAGGATTTTTAGATGGAACAGGAAGGGGTTTTCTTTTTTTTTTTTTGGTATGTGCCCCTAGGGGGAACGAAACCCGGGACTCTCTGGTCCACAGGCCAACGCTCCAACCAGTGAGCCAAACTGGCCAGGGTGGAACAGGAAGGGTTTTAAAAGGTTTCTCAAAGTTCAAAAACCAGGGCCAACGGCTTCGTGTACATTTGATACTTTTATTTTCCCATATATACTAATATTGCTAGATGGAAAAGGGCAAATATGGAAGCAAATTAGGAGAAAATATGAGAAGATAAACTGAGCGGGTTAAAGGCTACAGAACCAGAAGGAAGCATACCATTTTATACCCAACAAACAAGAAATACTAGTTCAGAACATGCTTTCTTGGAGTCTTGCTTTGATACTGAATGTGATAGGAAACACATATACTTTAAAGAGAAGGAACAGTGGAAGAGGAGGAATAAGGGGCAATAGCGAGATCACTCCTTTATTTTAAGTCAACTTGAATAAAGAGGTAAGAGAAAGAACTCAGGGTTTGAGAGGGAAAAAATTTACCTTTACCATAAGTACTCAGGAAATTTACATGACCATGTGTACGACATTATTTAGACAATTATATTTAAAAGAACATTTGCTATAGAAAAGCAGGGCTCTGTGAAGCTTCTGCTTTAAGTATTTTATGTATCTTGCCCTCTGGAGGTGTGAAATATACCAGGGATCTAAATGGAGTAAGGGAAAGCTTAGAAAAATAGAAGTAGGGAGATGAGAAAAAAAGCAGGAGTTATAGTCGAAGCTGCCATGGGGCAGGGGAGAAAGCACATCAAATTAATGAATATTATTTCTGGTGTTCAGAAGACCTAGTTGGTGTAGTTCCTTAATAAAGTTAGGGTGTCAGGATACACCCTACTGTGTATTCTGAACCACAACTGCAGAGGTACCTCACGGGGGATGCATTCATCAGGGCCCTCAGGTAACAGTTATAAGGTAGTATCATACTGATTTTTCTTATTTCCACAACCCCAATGACTTCATTCTTTAATTCTTCTCATTACAGTATAATTTCTTTGTTTTAAAACCCCACCAGAGACAGAAAATTGCTAGTCACTGTTTCCTTCATCATCAATGATTGGAAATTACCACCTTAATCTTTTATTTTTTCATACCGTCTTGTTTGGTACTCATAGCTCTCAATCTCTAGCTCTTTGGTCATGTATAGCTTTTCAATTTCTCCATATGCCTGGAATAGCATGATGTTGTGGCAAATGATTCCAGCAAACCAACGCCACCCAGGTGCAACGGTTCCCACATGCCCTGCTGGCTGTGCTTAGAATCACTTTAATGCTTCTTAAAAATGTAGATTACCAGGTCCCTCTGCCTAGATTTTGGTTAGGTAAATATGGGGTGAAAATCTTTTGTTTTTAAAACACCCTTAGGCAATTCTGGTTTTTCGCATGGCTTGACAATTATTAGTAGAATTTGTAGTAATTACTTTGAATTAGAATACCTGGCTCTAGTCACTACCACTTAATAACTGTGTGGCCTTGTGTAATCATTTAGATTTACCTAAACGTGTACTTCTTTAACTCACTTCATCTAGTTATTTTAGGGACAAAATCAAAATGAAGTGATGTAAAATTCCATATGAATATTTTATTATGATGCTTAGTTAAAAAATTTTTTTTTTCTTTTTTCTTTACTGATTTTAGAGAGAAAGGAAGGGAGAGGGAGAGAGAAATGGAAACATCAATGAGAGAGAACATCGACTGGCCGCCTCCTGCATGACCCCCACTGGGGCTTGGGCCCACAACCTGGGCATGTGTCCTGACCAGGAATCAAACTGGTGACCTCTTGGTGCATTGGTTGATGATCAACCATTGAGCCATAAAGGATGGGCATGACACTTGGTTTTTCTATGTATGTATTACCTTGTTTTGGGGACTGCCATGAGAAACTTGGCACCTACTCCCTTTTCCAGTTGCCAGCTAGATCCTCTCTGAGAGAAAGGTGAAATCAAGCAGGGCCAAGGCTTGACATATAATGGGGACTAGACATTTCCAACCCAGTATTAATGTTATTTGGATTATTTGCTCAGCTTGGTAATTATAAACAATTTTATAAATAAAAAATAAGAAATATTAGTTCAGAACATGTTTGGTTGGAGACTTGCAAACTGTCTGATTCATCTTCGTGATTTGGAAGTGATATGTCAATATTGACAGAATTTGTTTAGAGTAGAAAATGTTCTTATATTTTTGATGATTCCTAGTACTGCTTCTCCTTGAGTATGATCCAAGCCATGACCTCAGACAGCTGATCTATCTTTGATCTTAAATTGACAGGAATTTCTTCAGGATAAACATCTGCTCCACGGGGATGTGGCAGCCAGGAATATTCTGATCCAATGTGACCTTACTGCTAAGCTCTGTGGACTAGGCCTGGCTTACGAAGTCCATACCCAGGGGGCTATCGCCTCTACTCGCACAGTACCCCTCAAGTGGCTTGCCCCAGAACGGCTGTTGCTGAGACCTTCAGGCATCAGAGGAGACATGTACGGTTTGTTCCTGCCCTTTGGATGTCTTCCCTTCTTGACCTGAGTGTCCTCTAGTCCCTGACCATGACAGCATCTGTTGTCAATTATGTCTACAATTATGTCTACTTAGAAATCAGACTCTCAAGCAGAAATGTGTATTATGTGACAAAGACCATGTTTGGCATCTGGCTGCAATCCTTTTTAGTGCCTTTTGAAGTAATCCTTCTGTATTAGATTAGCAGCCGTAGTTAGAAAAGCAAAAACAAAAATGAAAAGATTATTTACACCAGTATCTAGTAGAGTCCTTTTTATTTGAAGGATGTGGGTCCACTTAATCAAAAGTTCAGTTAAACCAGGAATTATTAAAATAAAAGGAAATATACATGCCTCAAATAATTTATTTTAACTTAAAACATATAAATGGATATTTATTGCTCTTTTGGAGCAGGGCCAAGACCTTTTTTTTTTTTTTAATGAAGATAGACCTGCTAAATGATGTTATATTGTTTCTTTCTTTTTTCTCTTTATTTATTTTAGAGAGAGAAGAAGGGAGAGGGAGAGATTGAAACATCGATGAGAGAACATTGATTGGCTGCCCCTGCATGTCCCCCATTGGGGACTGGGCCCACAACCTGGGCATGTGCCGACCGGGAATCCAATGGCAACCTCTTGGTGCATGGGTGGACACTCAACCACTGAGCCACACTGGCTAGGCTATATTGTTTCTTGTATGAATAGTATCCATAATGAATTGAGTGAGAAACCTGAAAACATTTGTGAAACCATTTGACCTGACATTTATTGTTATTTTTCCTAATTTTTAGTTGTGCCACCTGCACAGTTTGATACACTTTCTTTTTAGGGGCTTATTTTCATAGAATATTTTCAAAGCATTCAATCTACTTTTCAGGGACCCAATGCTTTATTTTCGTTTATATTCAGTTAGCTTGTATAGTATTTAATTGATTACATAATTACAGTACACATATGATTGGGATAGACAGGCCTGTAAAGAATCACAATTGAATTTTGGTAACCATATAGCTCAACTGCTTGGAGAAGTACACAGGTGTAATATAGACTATTTTACTCATCATGAACGTCATGAGCAGCAGAGAAAACTTAGAATGTCGGTTAATATGGGGAGTCAATCAAAAGACTCCCATTGCTGCTTCCCAGGCATCTACCAGTCTGGGGGTAATAAGCGTAACTGGGAAATACTACTAATTTAATGATGATTTCATACAACAGTGAAATATATCACTCTCAAATTATATTGCATAGGGAAATATGTATTCCAATTATGTATACAGCTTGTTCTGTTAATTTCTTTCCAAGTTTGGTCAATTAGCTCTACTGAGGAAGTAGTAGATAAATTATAACCCCTACTTGGTCTTGTGCTAAGAATAAAGGCCGAATTTCATCAGGAAGGAATGGAAAGGTGAAAAATATGCAGAGGGAAATTTCTTTTTTTCTCTTTTGGTACGTGCCCCTAGCGGGAACCGAACCTGGGACTCTGGTCTGCAGACCGATGCTCCAACCTCTGAGCCAAACCAGCCAGGGCAAGGGAAATTTCTTTGTTTGAGTAAATGTGTTTGTGTGTTTGCATAAACACACACCCATAATTTAGCCAATAATAGTAAACATCTATTAATATGAACTATAGAAAAAAGGAGACATAAATTCAGTCCTCAAAGAAATTAGACTCGAAGGGGATTGGACAGAAATGCCTTCTAATGGCACCGTTACTCGGCTTATTTTATTAGACACCCTGTGTTCCTCTTCATTGCCTTCTTTACAGGGCTCTTTCTGAAGGTCCTCAATATTTAAGTGAGTTCTCTTTAGAAAGGCAGAAATAGAAATTAAGTAAATGACTTTCTTTCTTTTATAGCTGGTCCTTTGGGATCCTGCTTTATGAAATGGTGACTCTAGGTATGTACCTGTATGCAAGGATGTTTGAGATGGATGGAATCTGCTATGAGAAGGGGTTTCAGCAAAATCTCTGAGGTTTGAACTGGGCTGACATAAAATCCCTCTCCTCCCTTAACTTTCTTTCTCATTTATTCTTTTCCTCAACTTTACCAATTCTAAGGATGCTTTAAAATCCAAACACTAATTCCAAGAGTGACCTTGCGCCCTGGCCGGTTTGGCTCAGCGATTAAGCATCGGCCTGTGGTTCAGAGAGACCTGCGTTCGGTTCCCGCTAGGGGCACATACCTTGGTTGCAGTTTGTCCCCGGCCCTGGTCGGTTGTGTGGGTGGCAACCACTTGATGTGTCCCTTTCACGTCGATGTTTCTCTCTCTCCCTTCCTCTTTCTCCCTCCCACTCTATCTGAACAAAAAATGAAAAAATGTCCTCGGGTGAGGATAAAAAACAAAAAGTGACCTTGCATAAACATAAACACACTGTCTTCAGATTTATTAATCTATCTGAGAAACTGTAGCACCTTCCCACATTTGGGAGTGCATGGCAGGTGTTATTCTTCACTTTCCTTGATTTTGTTATTTTCCTAAAGACTCAACATTCTCCTAAATTATTGTTTTTTGCCCCAATCTCTGCCCCCCACCTAAATTTCTCTAAGCTATATCTTTTTTTTTTTTTTTAATATGAATAATATTTTATTTATTTATTTATTTTGTTACAGATATTTTACCTTTTTACCCCATTGGCACCCCCCACCCTGTCCCCCCTCCACCCTGTCCCCGGCTTAGTTGTCCATGTCCATTGGTCATGCGTACATGCATACAAGTTCTGTGGTTTATCTCTTCCCACCCCCCCACCCCCCATCCCCTCTTCTGAGGGATGTCAGTCTGTGCCCTACTTCCATGTGTCTGGGTCTACTGTATTCCTCAGACTGTTATGTTCATTATATTCCGTATATAAGTGAGATCATGTGGTATTTGTCTTTTTCTGCTTGGCTTCTTTCACTTAGGATAATACTTTCCAGGTCCCTCCATGTCGTCTCAAAGGATAAGAGATCTTTCTTTCTTACCGCTGCATAGTACTCCATTGTGTATATGTACCACAGCTTTTTTATCCATTCGTCTACTGATGGACACTTGGGCTGTTTCCAGATCTTAGCTATTGTAAATAGTGCTGCTATGAACATGGGGGTACATATATTCTTCCTGATTGGTGTTTCAGGCTTCTTAGGGTATATTCCCTAAGCTATATCTTTACTTAATCACTGGGGAGCAACTATATTGCATCTAGTATTTTTCTCATGGATTATATTTACCTACCTTCTGCAGGCAATTAGCCCAGGTGGATGGAGAGAAGTGTTTGTTATAGCTCATTCTCTAGAGCAGTGGTTCTCAACATTCCTAATGCTGTGTCCCTTTAATACAGTTCCTCATGTTGTATGTGGGTGGACCCGCCTGGAGACGGACAGAGGAGCGGTGTCTCAGTTCCTAAGATCATCAGAAATATGTGTTTTCCAATGGTCTTTGGCAACCCCTGTGAAAGGATCGTTCGAGCCCTGGCCAGTTTGGTTCAGTGGTTAGAGCGTCGGCCTGCAGTCCAGAGAGACCCGGGTTCGGTTCCCAAGAAGGACATGTACCTCGGTTGCAGTTTGTCCCCGGCCCTGGTTGGGTCATGCGAGTGTCAACTACTCGATGTGTCCCTTTCACATCAATGTTTCTCTCTCTCTCTCTCTTCCTCCCACTCTATCTGAACAAAAAATGGAAAAATGTCCTCAGGTGAGGATTAAAAAAAAAGGAAGGGTCGTTCGACCCCCAAAGGAGTCGCGACCCACAGGTGAGAACCACTGCTCTAGAGGCTCTGAAGTTCTCTTGCTACTCTCGTTCTTCCCATTCCAACAGGGGCACCACCATATCCTGAAGTCCCTCCTACCAGCATTCTACAGCATCTGCAGAGGGGAAAAATCATGAAGAAACCCAGTAGTTGCACACACACCATGTAAGTGGCTTTTAAGGCCTACTCTTCTCTTACTCCAAATATTTCTGGCTCCCTATCAATCATGCCCTTTTCAGAGATGATCCCCAGCTGTCCTTTATGTTCTAATGTACATCCCTATACCAAAATTATCAAGTAATCACATCTGATCATAGGTCATATATCAAAAATACATATGTATATGTGTTTGTATACACACACACACACACTGAGTGTTGAGGCAACCACTGAGAATTATGATAGGAATATAAATTTGGTAAAGTTTAGTTCCTCCAGAAGCTTCTAAAATAGGTAAGAAACAAACCAAACCAATGCAAGTACAGAAGTGTTTTATTTGTCTAAATGTCAGCCTCAGCCAGAAACTGCCAACCTTCTTTCTAAGATAGCTGTCATAAATCCACTGCACTGGAGTTATTCATTGGCTTTTAGTATTTAACTTTAAAATATTGACAATCTGTTTTTCCAGCTTTCAGCACATTAGAAACCAATCAGAAGGAGGTAGAAAGAAATTATAAAGATAGGAAAAGGAGGATCTGATATTGTCAGCAGAAAAAGATAGCTGGTGAACCAATGTAGGTTCAAAAAATAGAAAAATTAAAAATTACACTCAGAATAAAGTATAAAAAGGGATGGTTACAGAACATAACAAAAGGTTAAATTATTTATAAGAAGACAGGAGAGAATATATTAATATACAGTTCTATTACAATTGTTGCTATTTTATAATTTTTTCAGCATCGAAAGGGTAAATTTCAAGCTAGGTTTCCATATAATAAACATTTACTGTATCAAGCAGATTATAAATGTTAACTATCATAACTATAAATACACACACACAGAGCTAGTGAAACTAGCTGGGTATACTAGAATGAAATTGCTGACAAATATTTCTTGCAGTCTTTCTATGTATAAAATGCTGTCCTTGATACTGAGGGGCGACACTTAAATGATAAAGTAGCTAATCTTGAAGAAGTTAACACTGAGTGAAGAGATATCTGAAACAACATGAGAGTAATTGTAAAATGTAAGGCAATAGTAGAATGGTTAAAAACTTAGATTCATCTCAGAGTGAAAAGACATATGTTCAATTCTAGTCCTACTACTTTACTATATATTGTTTACTTATCTTGAATTAGGAATAATGATAACCCTACCTCAAAGTTATTGTGAGGTTAAAATGAAATAATGAGTGTTAAGTTCCACTTCCATGCCTTTTTAATAAGTAAGTTCTTGGTAAATGTTAGCAGTGTTATTAAAGTAGCATCTTTTACAAAGTCTCATGGTACAACATTAATGAGTGAAGAAAACATAGAGGGTGCTGAAGTTTATAAGGGAAGGTTTCTCAGAGGAATTGAGATTTAAAAGCAGCCTGTAGGAAATGATGACCACAGAGAGGATATTCAAGGAATTGGGCACAGCATGAACAAAGACAGAGTTGGGTGTTGATTACTACAGCTAGGGCATAGTAATACACTGACTTGGCTGGAGGAGAGGGCTTTAGTTAGGCAAGGCCTATGTGGTAGAAAAACTAGGGGGTGGATGTTGACTTTATATGGTAGGTAGTGGGAAACCACTGCAGGTTCTTCAGCAGGGATGGGGCATGATGAAAGTGTTTGAAATCAGACAGCATTATACATTCTCTAAACTGGATTGAAGAAAAGATAGATTAAAGGTGGTAAGTACTTTTATCTAGATTAAAGCAATTACCTGAAGGTAAATATAAAGCAGGGAAATGATCTAGATTAATGGAAGGAAAAAAGAATTACATTATCCAAAATTAGTATGAACATTATTCCGTAACTTGTTATATATATGTTTATAATTTTAAAAACTTTTTTCTTTATTGGTTTTAGAGAGAGAAGAAGGGAGAGAGGGAGAGATAGAAACTTTGATGAGAGGATGAGAGAGAACATTGACTGGCTGCCTCCTTCCTGCATGCCCCCACTGGGGATTTGGCCGACAACCTGGCCATGTGTCCTGACCGGGAATTGAACTGACAACTTCTTGGTGTATGGGTCAATGCTTAATCACTTAGCCACACTGGCCGGGCTATATGTTTATAATTTTTAAATTACAGTTGACATAGAATATATTAGTTTCAGGTGTACAACATAATGATTGGACATTTATATAACTTATGAAGTGATCACCTTGATAAGTCTAGTACTCATCTAGAACCATACATAGTTATTACAATATTATTGACTATATTCCTTATGCTGTACCTTAACATCTTATTTTCCTGTCTGTAACATACCTTTTACTGTTAGGTAAGTCGTAGCAATGGACTGGAATGCTGCAAGTTAGTAACATCTATAAATGAGAACACAACTTCTGAAAGAACTTTTGGCAATAAAGTGTGTGTGGGGGGGGGTGCTGTTCTGTCAGACTGCTTGTACCCTGAGAAATAACTTTACTCATTTTTATTATAAAAAGGGCTCTATTAAGAAGAGGATATTAAGAGACTTAGTATTAAGAGGATGAGATGAATATTAATCTCTGGGAAGAATATAAAAGACAGGACAATGAGAAGTAGATTAAAGAATTGCAGGGGCTTTTGGTTAAGGTTTGTTAGGTGAGGAGACATGTTCCTCATGCATTTGCCTTGTTAAGGAAGTCAGTTTCTCTTGTTTCCCTTTCAGGTATAGTCTTATGAAGTCCTGTTGGCGCTGGAGAGAGGACAAACGCCCCTCACTTACAGAGCTACGCTCACGCCTAGAAACTGCCGCTCGAACTGCAGATGACAGAGCTGTGCTGCAGGTACCAGAGCTGGTGATACCTGAGCTGTATGCAGCTGTGGCAGGCATCAGCATAGAGAGCCTCTCCTACAGCTGCAGCGTCCTTTGAAGATCCCGGGGCAAGAAACATTTTTTTTTCAGGGCAAGAAACAGTTAGGGGTGATCATATACTCTTGGAATTCCCCTAAGACCAGAGGATGGACTTTCTAGTGGGACATACATGGAGAAGTAGAACATAGAGCCTGGCTCTTCCCTTATACATTTCTCTAGATACGTGAAATGACGCTGGGTGAGACTCTACACGCCACATACCCTTGTGGTTGAGAAACACAGTTTCATTTATGATGTCCCAACCCTAAAGACTCAGGGTAGACGTGGTAGACAGTGTTGCTTCAAAGGAGGTTTTAGAAATCTGAAATTTAGGGGGCAGTGGCATGGCACAAATAAGTTGGTACTTCATACCACAGGCTAGTTCCCTCCTGAAGAATGCTTTTATCTAGACTATTATAAGGTCCAGAGAAATTAGAATCAAATGAAGAAATAGAAAGCCCAAAAAGAAAGAAAATTAAAGGTTCTATTTTCTCAGGGATGTAGATGTGGACCAAGGTCATCCTTCAAAGAGAAGGTGGAGGAAAGATGTCACATTCGTCAGTAATGTCCCTTCATGTAGGGCTTGAGGAGAAAATGAAGGAAAATTTCTGAGTTTCCCCTGGGTATAGGTAAGAGAAAGATGGCCCCCTTTTACCTAATGCTGAGGCCAGAGGACCCTATTGATACTATTTTTAACTAGAAGCTAGGGAGATCATTTTATAATTAAGAACATTCAACATGTATTGTTCATCATGCTAGCTCCCTGGTCCCTATAAGACTAAGGAGACTGAATCTAACGAGAAAGTTAGGCCAATGCATAATATATTGTGTGTTTTTAATAAATATAAAAGGTGGAAAAAAAGTAAGAATGCTTAGTAGGCCAGAAGGTCTTTAACAAGGCCTAGCAAAGTATATCCAAGACAGAAGGGTGGTAGCTTCTGATTTTCAATCATCCATTGATGTACTGTAAAACTTCATTAAATTAATATTGAGTGAAAGTGGGTTTTTCAGTTATACAGCTACCAAAATCTCTATAGTAGGGAGGATAAAAATAAATAAATAGAAGTTAATGTCAATAGAAAAATTGTCAGAAAAAGGATAAAATGGGTACAATACTTACCTCACAGGGTTGTTGTGAGGACTGAATGAGAATATGTATTTGTACAGTATCTGGCACATAATATGTGCTCAATAAATGTTAGTGTCCTTTCTTTCCCCCTTCCTATCCTAGAATCTTTCATATATTTTTCATTTAAAATCTACTGTGGCCAAGAGGAAAACCCTGGTCAACAGTCATGCTGACATAGGACATGCCTAAAGACAACTGTATGGTTCAAGTACCACACAACTAAAATGTTGAAGTCATCATTTTTGTGTGAACTGGATGAGGATAGTAATCTCCTACTATTGCATAATACTGAAAATAGCATGATGACGAGAATTCAATTGAACATGTGATCAGTGATTTTATTTATTTATTTTTTTATCCTCACCTGAGGAAATTTTTCCATATTTTGTTCAGACAGAGTGGGAGGGAGAGAGAGGAAGAGAGAGAGAGAAACATCGACGTGAAAGGGACACATCGAGTGGCTGCCACCCGCACGACCAACCAGGGCTGGGAACAAACTGCAACCGAGGTACGCGCCCTTAGCGGGAACCGAACCTGGGTCTCTCTGACCGTAGGCCGACGCTCTAACCACTGAGCAAACTGGCCAGGGCTGTGATCTGTGATTTTAAAGAATACTCACTCTGGGTACTCTCGCAAGGGCATCTAAGGCTGCTGAAGGAAAGGTGACTGGCCACTGAAAACTTTGTAGAAGTTAGAATCCTGATGGAGTCATAATGAGTCATCTAACTCAACAGTGACTGTTGTATTTGTAGGAATACCACAATGACTAGTCAAAATTTAAATGGGTGGTAAGTGTCAGCAGAGAGAAGGGAGGTTGAGTGGCTTGATACAAAATGATAAAGTCTTATGGAATCTTATCATTGCTTCTAAGCTGTTCACTTAAATCAAATTTACACAGTATATATATATATATATACACACACACACATACGTACATACACACACACATACAAACACACATATATGAATGTTAAGGACAACACTGCTAAATATTCTGCTAGGTGTTGAATAAAGTAAGACACATTATATACATTATAAATTATTCACTGTGGTAAATGTCATGAAGAAACGTATAGTAGAAGGGAATGTAAAATGGGGAGTTCCCTGAAGACATGTAAGTTAAATTGAGACCTTATTTTAGATGCATTATCTCATTTGATCCTCTCAACAATTCTATGATCTTGGCAAACCTGACTGTAGTATATTCATTAGGTTGATGAACAAACAGTCTTAGAGATAGGGACTTGCCCTGGCCTGTTTGGCTCAGTGGTTAGACCATCGGCCCGTGGACCAGAGAGTCCCTGGTTCAGTTCCCGCTAAGGGCATGTACCTTGGTTGCAGTTTGTCCCTGGCCCGGGTTGGGAACCAGGGTCATGTGGGTGGTAGCCACTTGGTGTCTCTCTCTCTCTCTCTCTCTCTCTCTCATGGATGTTTCTCTCTCCCTCCCTCTCTCCCTCCTGTTCTATCTGGAGATAAATGCAAAATGTCCTCGGGTGAAGATTTAAAAAAAAAAATAGATAGGGACTTAACTGAAGTTAGCTAGAGATAAGTGTTGAGAATGAATCTCAGGTTTTCTGATTGCCACTCTTTTTACTAAATCCCACTTACGGTCAAAGGTCATCAACACAGAGGATTACTATGTGTATTGGTAAAAGGATGATCAATATTATTTGAAACACAGACTGTGTAAAAGCTTCATCTTGTCTTTCCCCATCCTTCAGAACCCATCCCACAGGGGAGCCTTCCTCACTTCCCCAGCTTAAATCTATCTGGGAAGAAACGCGGGCTAAACCACTTGATGTTAAGTCACTGCCACAACTCGACAGGCCTCTAGATGAACCCTTCCTGAATGAAGTACGTTTAAAGAAACTCTTTTTATACCATGATAGTCATTTTCTGCTTCAACATGCTTTCAAAACCTCTGACCTCTTCTGGGATGGATTCTTTCTCCTTTGCCCCTATTATTTACAGGCTTCAACGCCCAGATAACCAGCGTTGTCCGAGCCGTGCTAGGTAGGGATCCAGCTGGAGAAGCAGCTGCACCCAGGTCTCTGCACCGGGCTTCAGCTGTACTCACCCCACCAGTTACTGGGGAGCAAAGCCACACCCAAGTCACAAAACGCGAGACGTTGAGGCCCGAAAAGTAAACGCGACTTGCAAGCCTTAGTTCTAAGCCCACTGAAAGTGCTACCATATTTCCGCACTTCTCTGCTTTGCCAGCATAATATGATGTACTTAATTCTGAAAATAACACGTTTCTGTCCCCACCAAAGCGAAGGTAAGCCGCTGCTACGCTCTGCGGTGCGCTCAGGCCTCGCCGCGGCCGGGGCCGCCCTCCGGGACCCGGGGGGGCAGAGGCGAGCCCGCGGTGACGCATTATCCTGGGCGACCGACGTCACTGCCAGGCGCCCGGGGCACGTTGGCCGAGCCTTCGGCGGGCTTTCCGTCGGGAAACAAAAATGGCTATGGCCAGCGATTTCTACCTGCGCTACTATGTAGGGCACAAGGGCAAATTTGGACACGAGTTCCTGGAGTTCGAGTTTCGGCCGGACGGTGAGCGGAGGCGCAGCCGCCGTCGCCGCGGAGCGCGGGGCTGGACGCAGGGGAGCGGGGCCCGGGGAGGCGGCGGGCGGGGCGAGCGAGCCGAGCGAGCGCCTCGTTGGGGCAGAGGCCGCTGCTTTAGCGCGAAAGAACAGGAGCTGGAGAATCCAGGAGGCTTACATGGGTTTTGTGAACAAAAGATAATCGGTGTACATTCATTTAGAAAAGATAATGTGGGCGGATACTAAAGGTGAACCTGCCTACGGTGGTTAGCACCCTAGAGCCACCTCACCGGACAGGACCCTGAAGGCCGTCTAGCGTATCGACCTAATACTTGAACATTTTTAAGAACATCCCCAACGTGCGGTGGTCCAGTGGATGCTTAATATCTTCCGGTGGTTGGTAACGTTTGGGCTACCCATCGGTCCAGTTTATTCATTTAGGCGTTGGACGCGCGTATCTAGAAAAACGAATGACACCCGCCCTGACAGCGGGAAGCCAACACCTAGAAACAGTGTAACGACGTGGTTCGGGTGCATTGAGTATAAAAAGGGGCGTGGCTAGTTCTACAAGAAGGAGTAAGGAGAGCTTCTTAGAGAAGGTGACAGTTGAAATGACTCTTGAAATAGATGTTTTCTTATCGTCTTCGGGGGGAAAAGGCAGAGCAGCATGAGCAGAGGGCGAGGTAAAAGTGCCTAGTGCCCTTACAATATGCATGCAATTTTATCTTTTGACATCTGATTCTTTTTAGAGAGTGTTATGAACCCTTTTTGCAACCAGGAAAGTCCAGCTGAGGAGACTTTTCTTTTTTGAATGCATATTATGTGTTTGATGGTATGGTAATGAATAAGACTCTTTGATTTCCCACCAGGAATTATGTCTTGGTGGGTGACACAGACATGAAACTAACCATACATCGGTATGGATATGAAGTGCTATGTTCATGCATTGTTCTGTGAGAGCATGAAAGAAAAGTGAGGGGAGGATCAGTTATTAGGAAAGGGGAAGAGTGTCAGACATTTCAGGCAGAACTCAAGGTCAGGACAGCCTTGCAGTTATTTAGAAACTGTAATCACCTTATTCTCCTTTGCTCTCCCCATGTTTATTCTAAATTTAGCAAAGGAGACAATTTATATGAATTCTCTATCTGTTCTTTTATGTGATCTTGCTTTCAGTGCCTTTGCCTATGAGTAGTTTTCAGCTTGTCCCTATCACTTTTAGCCAGTCACATAAATTAAGTAGTCTAACATTACCAGGGAAGTGTCCTGCCAGAACAGTGGTTCTCATCCATTTATCTGCCACCACACCATCCGCACACTTCCATCAATAATAGTGAGTCACAAAGGCAGTGTTTCCTAAGGGGCTCACCTTATTAGGTTTACCTATGATTTTATTTTTACCTATCATTTTAGAGGATCAGGACCACATTACATGTTCACTTGAAATACTAGCCATGAGGAGAAGCAGGCATCAGGGAATATAAATTAATGATGGATTAAAATTAAATATAGATCAGTTAACAAACTGGCCAGCTTTTATGTAGAAGCAGAACATCGTTTGTATGCTTCTTAATCACAATTCTAAAATACTAGCATTGTCATATTATTATACATACATTAATTTGAAGGAAAATGATTAAAAGAGAACACTTTGGAGTAATGGGGAAAGCATGAGTAAAGGAAGAAGGTAGATCTAGATTTGAATCTCATGTGACCCTAGGCAAGTTACTCAGCTGTTTTCTCAACTATGAGTAAGAGGGAGAATAAAACTTACCTTTTTTTTTTTTTTTATCCTCACCCGAGGACATTTTTCCATTTTTTGTTCAAATAGAGCAGAAGGGAGAGAGAGGAAGAGAGAGAGAGAGAGAAACATCCATGTGAAGGGACACATTGAGTGGCTGCCACCCACATGACCAACCAGGGCCCGGGACAAACTCCAACCGAGGTACGTTCCCTTAGTGGGAACCGAACCTAGGTCTCTCTGTACCGCAGGCCAACGCTCCAGCTGCTGAGCCAAACCGGCCAGGGCAAACTTACCTTTTAAGGCTGTTTTACTGATTAGATTAAATGCTCTAGGCTAATCAGCACCAATGTAAACATAAAACATAGACTTTAAAAAAATGTTCCTTTTTCAGACCCCCTGCTTAGTTCAAGACATAGCTTGAGAAAATGGGCCTTAAAAATGGCCTTTCCCCTATACTGAAGGCATGGAGTATTTAAAAATTGTATTGAATATTTAAAAAGTATATCAAAGGCATGGAAATTTTTAAAAATTGACTAGCTTCAATTATAACCAGCTTACCAGCAATTTTTGAGTGTCTACATTCTAGTATTGGGCTTATGCTAGGAGGGAAGAATTATTAATAAAAGTAGTGGCATAAAATGGTCTTTATATTCAAAATTGCTTACGATGTTATTTCTTTCTTTATTTTTTTAGCAGTTTTTGCTGTTATAGATTGAATTTTTTTCCACTCCCCACAGGAAAGCTTAGATATGCCAACAATAGCAATTACAAAAATGATGTCATGATCAGAAAAGAGGTAAGTTCTTTTGGGATGTTTAATTTTTTACAGTTAGCCATTTTTCTCATGTCTGTGTTGAATTTACAGAAGTTCATATGAGGCTGTATTGTAAAGAAGAAGCCAATTTATAAATTGAAAAGGGATTCTATTTATAATACATATAATTGTAGTATCTGTAACAACAAAAAAAGCAGTCTGAATATATTAAGTTGTAGTCCTACATTTGAACATATCATTTAATTCATTTTTAATTTGTCTTTCTACTCTATTCACTATTTAAAGTGATAATCATGATTAAACACAATATGAATTTTAAATGAAAGGGATAAGAAAAAGTTTAGATCACTATGAGGTATACTTGTATTTATCTCTGTTCACCTCATAGATTTTTCATTGTCACATTAACCACTTAGAGAGATTTGAGTCCCATGTTACCAAGGCAGAATATAGGGCTTTAAAAGGGGGCTAAGTGATGTGAAGAGGGAAAAATATATATTAAAGGAAAGGGCAAGAGAGTAAAGAAAAATGATAAGACGGATGAATGATTCTATCCCATCTTGTACTTTGGAATAAAAATTAAATTTTTCTGTGATATTCTCTTTGAATATTTAGGATTTGTAACTTCTGAGCTGTGGGGAAAAAATAAAAAATTTTATTATAACTTATTTTCAGGCTTATGTACATAAGAGTGTAATGGAAGAACTAAAGAGAATTATTGATGACAGTGAAATTACAAAAGAAGATGATGCTTTGTGGCCTCCTCCTGACAGGGTTGGCCGGCAGGTTTGTATTTAGTGATTCTTTAAATGCATAAATATTTACATTGATAATATCATTGTTATGTTTCTCCTTATTTATTTATAATAGATACTCATTGATTCTTTAGTTTTCCATTTAGTAGGTACCTGGTAAATACTCTTTCTTTTTGTCAGCCTCGTTTTCTGTGCTACCTCCTAAGTAGTAAAGGGGTCGGTGGATAGCTCTAAATTTAGACATCTCTCTGAATAGTCTTCTCTATAGTCAGCCCTGCCAAGGTTAGGATGTTTTCACACTGTTGTGAGTAATTTCTATTATATGTTAATTACTTTTATTAGGAATAAATATAGGTATCTGTTAAATTCGAGACTTAAGAGTCTCATTGACTTTGTAAATTTACTTTCTCCAAATTTATAACTTTGAAACTTCTTATTTGCATATCTTGCCATTCAAACTGACCACTCTCTTTGCCTCTCATGTTCTCTTCAGAGTAATTGATGTATCGCAGAGGGCTTCTGAGGAGCTCTGAAGGGTGATTTCACTCAGTAGAAAGATAGTTTGATTTCTGAATTGGGTCTTTTCAACTCTTGGAGAAAAGCGATATGACCCTTGGAGGAAAAATCATTTAATTTCATTTTTGTTTGTAACACTTTCTTTGACCAGAAGAAAATGTGGAGAAATCTTAACATATGTTGACTCTCTGTAGCTGTAACTTAACTCTTCTATTTAAAGAAATATTATTTAGGAAAGCAAAGGTAATAGTTAACAGTATCATTGCAAACACTTTTTTTAAAAAGTAAATTTAGATTCGTTTATGCATATGTGCATATATACTAAAACAGAAACAGCAGCAGTAAACTGTTTATCTCTTTTAAACTCAGGAAGAGAATCCAGTATTTTCATCTGCCCACTCTATGACACTGTCCTGTGTTTGGTTACTGGGGAGGATTAGGCATGCTCCAGAAATTGTCTGTTGCTGTTCAAGTCAAAGATTTTACGATTGAGAACCTTAGCTGATTCTCCACTTTGTGTGTGTCATAACCTGCATAATCTGGTCTTCTGATCAGTTACATAGCTAAGACTGTCTTCAATGGCATCTGCTACTTAACCTGAAAAATCACCCCAGATATCGCCTCTTAATTATTGGTTTCAGATTTGCTGATAAAATATAGACAAAAATTTATACAATAACCATGGCACACTGGGAACATCTACATTATGTTGTTTATTTTACTAGTTTTTTTTGTTTGTTTGTTTTTAATTTCCTCTTTTTAAATATCTTTTTATTGATTTCAGAGAGGGGAAGGGGAGAGAGAGATAGAAACATCAGTAGTCTGCCTCCTGCATACCCCCTACTGGGGATCCAGCCCACAACCCACACATGTGCCCTGACCAGGAATGGAACCGGCAGCCTCCTGGCACATGGGATGCCACTCAACCAACCGAGCCACACTGGCCAGGTCATTTTACCAGTTCTTAATATTAATGTATTGTCAAGTCAAAGTCTATTAATCTTTCAATCTTACAGTTCAGGATTCAAATATTAGTACCATCATTTATTGGTGATTATAACTATAAACAAATTTTTTTCCTGTGCTTTCTGGTCTTGGATTTCATGGTTGTAAAAGTAGGCTAATAAAGCCTATTTGATAAGTGTATTTTAGGGATTATAGACAGTATTTGTAAAGTCCCTAGCACCAAGGCCTGACACATAGTAGCTACTAAAGTGGTACTATTATTAATATTACACATTCTATTTTTAGAGCCTAGTAAAAAGTGTTTTTTTTAATCCTCACCCGAGGACATTTTTTTTTTTTTTGCATTTATCTTCAGATAGAGTGGGAGGGGGAGAGAGAGAAAGAGAGAGAGAGAGAAACATCCACATGAGAGACACATGGAGGGGTCGCCATCCACACGGCCCCAATTGGGGCCGGGGACAAACTGCAACCGAGGTAGGTGCCCTTAGCGGTAACCGAACCCGGGACTCTCTGGTCCACGGGCCAACGCTCTAACCACTGAACCAAACTGGCCAGGGCGGGTAAATGTGTTTTTATTTATTATATTAAAAATAGGCTTATACTCCTATTATACTCATTATGCTTCGAAGTGATGCCTTTAGTGTTTACTGATATTATAAGAAACGTGTATGTCACTCTTAAGTATTTCATTCATTTTATAGTATCTTGATCTCTGGACAGTAATTTTGGTTGGTACTAATATCGGGGACTCCTATGTGGGTGATGAAGTTTTTATTTTATTATTTTATAGACATAGTTTATGTCTAACAGATTAATTGTTTTTCCCTTCTCTGTTACCATTAGAAAACCTGCAGCTAAAATTGGGACCTCTTGGTAGCAAGAATATAAATATCTCTGGGGTGGATTTTTATATTAATTACATTTCTCTATTTTATTTTCTTCAGGAGCTTGAAATTGTAATTGGAGATGAACATATTTCTTTTACTACATCAAAAATAGGTTCTCTTATTGATGTAAATCAGTCAAAGTGAGTATGTTAAAGCATTTTCATTAAATTGATAAAATATATTAGAGAGGTTCATTTTAGAATTATAGCTAGTTTGCTAAGATTATTTCATTGGCACCCTATCAGTTTATTATGCAGATGTAATTCTGATTTTTATGTCATCAAAGACTTTATCAAAGAAGGTAGCAGTGCATTTATTGATTTTAAAAAATATATTTTAATCTGACAACTATGAATAACAACGCCCAAATTTATGAGCTACTTTTTTGTAAAAATCTGGATACTGTCACAGAATTTAAAAGAAATCCTTATTGGATATCAGTCTCCTTAGCCCCACATCACATCATTCTCCACCTTGGGTTTAATCTTCAAATAAATGGAAAATTTCCACTGTGGCTTAATGGTTTGAGCTACATATATATCCTCCCAAGTTCTGTGTCCCTGTAGCCCATACCTGTGTCTTTGCCTGAAAAATCTTTCTGCCTCCATCTTTCCACTCTTTTCCTTTAAAATGTCCCCATGGCCCTGGCTGGTTTGGCTCAGTGGTTAGAGCATCGGCCTGTGGTCTGGAGAGACCCGGGTTCAGTTCCCGCTAAAGGCACGTACCTCGGTTGCAGTTTGTCCCTGGCCCTGGTTGGGTCGTGTGGGTGGCAACCACTCGATGTGTCCCTTTCATGTCGATGTTTCTCTCTCTCTCTCTCTCCCTCTCATTCTATCTGAACAAAATATTGAAAAATGTTCTCAGGTGATGATAAAAAAAAATGTCCCCGTGGTGCTCTTTTTTCTATCACTCCAGATTGTAATAACTTGTTTGCATTACTGGTTTGCATATAAGCTCCAGGAGAACCTTGTATATCTCCAAAATTAGCACAGTGCCTGGCTCATAATAGATGCTTTATGAATATTTATTAGAGGAAAGGAGAGAGGAATGAATGCCAAATAACTGTTGGATACAAAAGGCTATGTTCATAAAGAATGACCAGAATACTTTTAAACTATCAAATTTATTTTCCCACAGTCGGTGAGGATGTGACATTCATACCCTACTGGGATTATAAATTAGTACAGTGTTTTTTAGAAAGTAGCTGATAATTTGCTTCAAAAGCCATTAATATGTCATTAATCTTTTCACTCATCTTCACTGTAGTAATTTTGTTTCTGAGTGTCTATTCTATGGACATATTCTCAAATAATGAAAAATGTTTATTATTCATAAAGATGATCATTCAAGCCTCAATTATAATTGGAAAAATGTCCAAATGTCTAACAAGGAGAGAATTATTAAATTAACTAAAAATTATTTGTGAATTTTTTTTAATGTAATGGGAAAAGTAATGTTAAAAAGGGCACAGGGAGTAATTTTAATTATTAAAAAAATAGAGAAACACCACAATGTTTATAGATATTTTGTGAGAAGTGACATTGTATAGTATTATGAATGTTGTTTTTTTCTATCTTTGTCATTTTATCTGCTTTATACATTTTGTGATGCATTGCTAGAAAATAAACACTTTAAATATGAAGTGAATACTTGTGAAGAAAATTTTTATTTTTTCTCTTAAAGAAAAGTTAGAGATGGTAATTCTAGATTCCTTTAACTTAATTATTTTATATTTTTTTGTTTGTTTGTTTTAGGAATTATTTTATAGGATTATGTTGTTGCATTCTAGAAACAAAAAAATAACTTTTACCTTTTTAAATTTTAGGGATCCTGAAGGCCTTCGAGTATTTTACTATTTGGTACAGGACCTGAAATGTTTAGTTTTTAGTCTTATTGGATTACATTTCAAGATTAAACCAATCTAAAGTATATGTTGTTTGAAGCTGTTTTTATATTTAATTAAGGGATGGGTAAGGGAGGGTTCATTTGTCATTTTCAGTATTGGGATTTTTATGAATGTGAAGCAAACACTTTTTGTATGCAAATTGAAAATACATAAACAGGCCTAATGTTTATCTCCACTTGTGTCCAAGTGGGTTAGACAGTCCTCACACATTAAATTCTGTAAATAAAAGCTACCTTTTGTTGAAATTGTGCTCTAATAAAACTTACCAAAGCCTGGGTGGAGAGTGCTTTTTTTCAGGAGGCTATGTGTCATCACTTTAAAGATAATTAAAAATTGTTGTAGGAGATACATGCATTCCAAAAATTCTTTCAGGTAGAAATATGTAGCCATCCATCAGTAGAAGAATGGATAAAAAAGCAGTGGTACATATACACAATGGAGTACTATGCAGCTGTAAGAAAGAAAGATCTCTTATCCTTTGAGACGACATGGAGGGACCTGGAAAGTATTGTCCTAAGTGAAATAAGCCAAGCAGAAAAAGACAAATACCACATGATCTCACTTATATACGGAATATAATGAACATAACAGTCTGAGGAATACGGTAGACCCAGAAACATGGAAGTAGGGCACAGACTGACATCCGTCAGAAGAGAGGGTGGGGTGGGGTGGGGTGGGAAGAGATAAACCACAGAACTTATATGCATGTATACATAACCAATAGACATGGACAACAAAGCCGGGGACAGGGCGGGTGTGGGGTGGGGAGGTGGGTGCCAATGGGGTAAAAAAGAAACTTCTGTAACAAAAAAATAAAAAAATTTAAAAAAAGAAATATGTAGCCAGAATTAAGGGAATTGTAGATCTTCCCTTATTTCATACCTGATGGGATTTAAGTTTTTGGTAATTATAGAGGTTGTTTACAGAAGGTTCAGTATTTTTTACATTTATCACAGACTTCTCAGGGATTATTTACTTTTTAATGTTTTTGGTATACAGTGATTTCCTCAAGAATTACAAAGGTAAAATCAGTACTCCAAATTGGGCACATCTTTTATTATACCCTTATTCCTTAAATATAGTTTTATATCTGTTAGAACTAAATGAGTTCTAAGCTTAAAAAATTATTTAAAATTTAGACTTAAATGTGTGTGTACAGTCGTCCCTCACCACTTTGTGCTTCGACGTGCACGGCTTTTTCAAATACTATCCTATATTCGAAAAAAGCACGATAGAGTGAAGCTGCAAACCTTGAAGCGCGAAGTGGCGAGGGGCAACTATATAGAAATAAAGAATCCTACTCTGCGGAAATGTATTTATCGCGGTAGAGTCTGAAACTGACTAACCGCGATAAATGAGGGCTGACTACCTATATATTTATATTTTAACTCCCGAGCACAGGTCCCACTGGTATTTCCCAGTTCCTTTCGGCCTTTGTCTACAGAATGGCTGTCATTACTCTCAGTAACCATGCCATAGTATTGTTACTCTTCAATCTGAACTTCCACTCTAAAAACGTGCAGTCCAAGGCAACCTTCGGGTTAGTGTAGGTGGGGCTCGGGGAAAGAAAATAATAATAAAAAATAAAAGTAAAAACATGCAGTCCGGGTAGTGTAATCCATCTGCCCCAGGGACCAGTCAGGCCTAACCTTAGGGTGAAAGTCATGCCTGGGTTCCTGAGTAGCTAGACTAGAGCAACTCTGTTCAGTAAACTTCTTTGAGATTATAGAAATATTCTGTGTGTGTGTGCATTACAACAGGGTAGCTACTAGCTCCTACATGTGGCTACTGAGTACTTGAGATTTGTCTAGTGTAACTGTTTATAGTCCTATTAGAAAACATTTTTTCTAACATGAAAATTTTCAAACAATTGAAAAATGAACATCCATACGCCAATCTATATTCTATAATTGACTTTTTTTCCTTTTATTATAAGTTTTACAATAATTCATATCCTGTTGTTGATTTTTCACTTAAGGGCAGAATAATTGATTTCTGTTCAAGATGTAGACCTTGATGGATGGGCAGTATAAAATCATGTTTTAATTCTCTTACATTTAGATGTCAGGAATTGTTTATTGAGCCTCCTGTGGGCCCACAATTTTTGTTTGCTTCTCAAAATAATCTTTATTCTGTGGCTGCAGTTGAATAGATGGTCCCCTCAAGACTAAACAAGGTTGGGGATTAAAAAAAAAATTTTTGTCTCCATTCTCTAACTTCCCTGAAGTGCTGACTTACTATACTCTATCCCCACTGCCTACTAAGTTCTTATATTCAAATGAAAATTGGTCATTAGGATGTTTTATTTTCTCTGGTTTTCTTACACTTGTTTGAATTGGCTCATTGACAATGATCATAAAAAATTAAATTTTGTGCAGCACTAGTTTTATGAAAAATGAGTTTTATAGCACTTAGGCCAGCAGATACATGTCCCCACCCCCACATCCCATAATAAAGAGACCTCTTGCAATAAGCAAACATCTATACCAAGTGTTGGTCAGCATTCCATGTCTCCTTTTGCCCCTTCATGGGATAGAGTGTCATCACCCAGCATGTAGCACAGCTTTTCCACAGAGCAGGAGATTTGTAAAAGTTTATTGAACTGGTTGTCTTATAGTTACTGCCTTCAGTTTATTTGTCTTTGTAACAGTCTGAAATGGAAGATTCTAATTTCTGTAGCTATGGAAACCTTTCAGTTACCATGAATTTTGCAAAGGTACATACTTGTACTGCAGAGATGTATATTTGAACGCATTGGCTAAGGCTGTGTCTTGAATGGGGCCCAATTGTGATCCCGATGTCTCCTGAATAGTCTGAGTAGAACACTTTGACTTTGATCAACCTGCACAACAAATACAGCACAGGGAAGAAGACTGGTGAGACATGAGAATCTGGCAAGCTCCAACATTCTAGTTTATTTGTTACTGTATTTTTAGATTGAGTTTCTGGGTTATGTGCCTCTCCTTATAATAAGAGTGCAGGCAGACATTTCAAGTTCATTCATGTGCACATTTAAATATGAATATAAATTATAGCTGAGATTACTTTATATAACCTATTGTTAGACTACTTTGTTTTGACTTGACACATGTGAGACCTTTGAATCTGGGTTGTCCTATAAGTTCAACCACTGATCCATATGATTTTTTTTTTTTTTTAATCCTTACCCGAGGATACTTTTTCTCAAATATCTTCAGATAGAATGGGAGAGGGAGAGAGAAACATTGATTTGTTGCCTCCTGCACGACCCTGGCCAGGACCGGGTATGAACCACAACCGAGGTACATGCTGTCAGCCGGAATCGAACCCGTGACTCTTTGGTCCACGGGCTGACGCTCTATCCAGTGAGCCAAACTGGCCAGGGCATCCATATGATTTTTTTAAAGAAATGTTTTGGGTTCACAGCAAAATTGAGAGGAAGGTAGAGATTTCCCATGTACCCTCTGCCTGCACACATGCATCTTCTGCCCCATTATCAACATCCCCCACCAGAGTGGTACCTTTGTTACAGTTGATGAACCTTCATTTACACAGTAATCACCCAAAACCCATAGATTACATCAAAGGTCATTCTTGGTGTTCTACAGTCTATAGGTTTGGACAAATGTACAATGACATGTATCTCCCATTATAGTACCATGCAGAGTATTTTCACTGCCCTGAAGTCCTCTGAGCTCCATCTGTTCATTTCTCCCTACCTTCAACTGGCAACCACTCATCTTTTCTTTTTTAATTTTTCTTTTTTTGAGAGAGAGAAAGGGAGAGAGAGAGAAACATTGATGAGAGAACATCAATTAGCCGCCTCCTGCATTCCCCCGTACTGGGGATCTGGCCCACACAACCTGGGCATATGCCCTGACCAGGAATCAAACCGGCGACCTCTTGATACATGGGTCAACGCTCAACCACTGAACCACACCGGCCGGGTAACCACTCATCGTTTTACTGTCTCCATAGTTTTATCTTTTCCATGATGTTATTAGTTGGAATCATACACTATGTAGCATATTCAGATAGACTTTTCATTTAGTAATACAAATATAAGTTTTCTCATGTCTATGGCTTGATAGTTTATTTCTTCTCAGTGCTGAATAATATTCTGTTGTCTAGATTTATCACACTTTATCCCTTTACTTACTAAAGGACATCTTGGTTGCTTGGTTGCTTCCAAATTTTGGCAATTATGAATAAAGCTGCTATAAACATGCAGGTTTTTGTGTAAATTTAAGTTTATTGATTATTTTCATAATTGGTTCTTTAGCATTATATTGTTATAAGCTGGAATAGAAAATCCTCCAAAATAAAATAAAAATAAACAGGAAAGGTAAATGAGTGCTTTGAGGGAGAGGTTAGAGTCTGAACCATGTGATACAGCAGAAAAAACACTGAAGAATCAAAACTCTTAGTCATGGCACTGCATCCCAGAACTTTTCCCCTTTCATCCTGTGAAGAGACTTACAGAGCCCAAATAGCCATCTGAATTTCTTGTTGCAATTTTTCTTCATGCTTATTTATTTCCTGAGGTGGCCCTCTCATTTAGCTACTTATAAATTAGAGAAAAGATGATTTCCATGTGACTGCTAAAGGCCAGTTGAGAGTATTTAGAATAATTTTTTAATTATTCTTTTTATTTTTAATTTATTGAGGTGACTATTTGGTTAATAACATTAAATAGATTTAAGGTGTAGTATTCTGTAATGCATCCTCTATATATTGTATTATGTGTTCACCAAAAGTCAAATTTCTTCCCATCATCATTTATCCATATTTTGTCCTCTTCTATTTACCCCCACTCTTCCCACTGGTAATAGTCATGTTGTTGACTTTTTCTATGTTTTTCTTTTAATCTCTTCAAAACAAGAAGGATAAGGCCGGCTGGTTTGGCTTAGTGATTGAGCATCAACCCATGCACCAAGAGGTCTCTGGTTTGACTCCCAGTCAGGGCACATGCCCAGGTTGTGGGCCTGATCCCCAGTGGGGGGCATGCAGGAGGCAGCCAATTGATGTTCCCTCTCATCTATGTTTCTATCTCTCTCTCCCTCTGCCTTTCTCTCTCTAAAAATAAATAAAGAAAAACAAAAGAAAATACCAAGAAGGACAAGGTGGGGAACAGGACACCCCAAGCAAGAGGTCGTTTGAGATTTTAGAGCCAGGAATTTAGTATCCCTCAGTGGCATAAAGGTTAGGCCTTAGGACAGATATCCATGGAGGTGAGAACCTGGCCAGCTGAGGTTACTGCTCCCAACAGTGATGCTGCCCATCTTTCCTGGGAGCTGGTGGTTATTCCAGGCATCCTCGGCTTCAGCCTAGACAGGAAGAGCTGCTGCTGTGAAATGATAAGCCACTGAGGTCTGAAGGTGTGATCAGAAAGCTTCAGGGTGTGGCTGTCATATATGTGCTAAGCTTCTAGCTGACAAAGTTAATATTGTCAGAAACGGATGTGTGAAATATGTGGTTTCCCAAATGAAAGAAAGCTTTGCAGATTTGAAGAGCACCTTACATTGTTTTCGTAGAGCCATATGTCAGAAGATTGGCAAGGCAAGCATGAAATGAATGTGACTATCTGACTCATAGAAACAGATATAGAAATGCATTGCTTTTAGCTGGTAGATTATAGATATTCACAAAGTAAAATTCATGGACAAAACTCAAGTAGAGAAATAATTCACCAGTATCTCTTCTTAAATAATCAAATATGAACATTTTCTCACACAAGTAGTGGTGGATTAATAGAACAACTTTTCTGGAGAACATTTGGTAATATGTGTCAAATTTCTTTAATGTGTATACCCCTGGACCCCCTAATTTCATGTTTAAAAATGTTCCTAATAAAACACTCAAAGGTACAGGCCAAATATTTTTTATACTAGAAAAAAATTGGAACAATTTAAATGTCCCACAGTGGAGAATTGCCTAAAAAACTTATGACATAGTCCATGTGAGTAATAATTATGTGTTGTTTTTTTTTATCCTCACCCGAAGACATTTTTTAATATTTTGTTCAGATAGAGTGGGAGGTGGGGAGAGAGAGAGAGAGAAACATCAACGTGAAAGGGACACATCGAGTGGCTGCCACCCACACGACCAACCAGGGCCAGGGACAAATCGCAACCGAGGTACATGCCCCTAGTGGGAACCAAACCCCGGTCTCTCTGGACTGCAGGCCGACGCTCTAACCACTGAGCCAAACAGGTCAGGGCAATTATATGGTTTTTAAAATCATATTTTAGGCATCTGTTTTTCATGAGGAAACATTTATTAGAGAATAACATCAAAAACATTGTATGTGCAGTGACTGTTATAAATGGGTAAAACATAAATTTTGATAATGTATGGATAAAAGGGTAGAAGAAATACACCAAAATTTTATAGGGAAGTTATGGATGTTTTAAAATAATTTCTGGCCCTGGCCAGTTTGGCTCAGCGGTTAGAGCGTCGGCCTGCGGTCCGGAGAGACCCGGGTTCGGTTCCCGCTAAGGGCACGTACTTCGGTTGCAGTTTGTCCCCGGCCCTGGTTGGTCGTGCGGGTGGCAGCCACTCGATGTGTCCCTTCACGTCGATGTTTCTCACTCTCTCTCCCTCTCTCTCCCTCCCATTCTATCTGTACAAAAAAATGGAAAAATATCCTCGGGTGAGGATTAAAAAAATAAATAAATAAAATAATTTCTGAATGTATTTATCTACAATACACGTAATGGAAAAAATAATCTTACATTTTCCAAATAGTAACATACAAAATTCCTGACAGATGTGCTATTTAAATTTTTTTTTGTATATATTTCAGAGAGAGAGAAAAGGAGAAGGAGAAAGATAGAAACATCACTGAGAGAGAACATCGATTGGCTGCCTCCTGCATACCTGCACTGGGGATCAGACCCACAACCTGGGCATGTGCCCTGACCGGTAATTGAACCAGAGACCTCTTGGTGCATGGGTTGATGCTCAACCACTGAGCCACACCAGCCGGGCCAGATGGGCTGTTTAAGAGTTCAAGAACTTAGTCATGATACTTCTTACATATATGTGTATAAACATATTTATACATTTACATTTTAATCATTTGTTTTTACTAGTAATATATTTTAAGTAGGCTAGTTTTTGTGAAAGATATTTGTTCTTGTTTTATTGAAAGCTGTGTTCCTTCATCTTTTGGTCCTTGAATGTTGATTTTAAATGCAATTTTGCAGAGTACCAAGTAATTGGTTAGTTGAGATGAAGGAACATATAGCTCACCACCATCTTTCCTTCCACATCAACATCAGCTTTCATCACACAATTTCCTTTCATCACTTTGGTCAAGAGGAGGGGCAGAAAAATTTGAGTTGGAGTACTGTTCAGAGACAATTCATTCCTGCCTCTCGTCTTACAGCCCCCCATGCACCCCAGGGATCCAGGATTGGAAAGGCTCACTTCTCCCACCTCATTTTTGGGTTAGCTTTCCCACCGGCATCACTGCATCCACAGCTGCAGGTAACATTTGCTATTATTCCCTCAGCTCTTGGTACCTTTAGCGTTCCTTATAAAGAAAACATTCTAGGAAGAAAGGATGTTAGGGATATGGTGTTTTATTAATTACAAATGACTAGGCATAAAGTTGGGATTGATAGCAAGGCATGCTCGATTGATTGCATTAGAACTACACCGTCTCTGAAGGGAATGTGAAAACTAGTTCAGCATTTACTGAAACTTTTTTTCTCCTTTTCTTTTTTCTTTCAGTCCTCACCCGAGGATATTTTTCCATTTATTTTCAGATAGAGTGGGAGGGAGGGAGGGAGTGAGAGAGCGAGAGAGAGAGAGAGCTGCATCTTGAGGGAGACACATAGATTGACTGCTTACCACAGGACCCTGACCTGGGCCAGGGATGAACCCGTAAATGAGGTATGTGCCCTTGACCGGAATCGAACCCGTGACTCTTTGGTCCACAGGGCTGACACTCTAACTGCTGAGCCAAACTGGCCAGAGCTTTTTTTCTCTTTTTAATGTGCTATGATGTGTGCTTAGTGTTATCAAAATAAAAAATAAGGGTTTGGAGATTTAATTACTTGTAATTTGAACTTAATGATTTACATGTTATCAACCTTGAAGGATTCTGTAATAGAAAAGATTCCTTTTCCTTAGGAAATTGGAGGAAATGTGGTGAAGTTTAGAAAATTTATAAAGTAAAATAAAAATTTAAAAGGATGGAGTTACATATGTGATTTGTTGTCCATACTCTGTTTCTTGTGTATCATCTGTTCATATTGATTAATGTAAGATGCAAGATACATTTTAAATATCTATTATTTACTAATTTTGTTTTATATTGATATTTATTTGTAATTTAATTCTTTATAGATATTACCCAATGACTGCCTTTTAAAATTTTTATTTTAACATAGACCTCTCTGGCAACATCACACACAGGGAAATCATTTCTAAAATTTAATGTACATGCAATCATTTGAGATTAAATATGCAGGTGTTTGGTTTCCCCCTGATATTTTATTTAGTGCATCTAGCATGGGGCACTGGAATCTGGAATGCTCACCAATCTACAATGGTAACTGTCAAATAATTTTTTTGCAGGTGGTATATTGGATACACTTTGGGAAATGCTCTGGTTGAGTCAGTCATGTTATAATCGAAAAGAATGTGTTTACTTTTTAATATTTATATTTAGAGTTGAACATGAATATTGTTTTTTGAAGTGAAGATATTTATATATTATTCAGAATTTCAAAAATGTAGAATTTTTGTTTTTGGAATTGATCATTTTGTCATAGAGACCTGGCCTGTTTGGCTCAGCAGTTAGAGCATCAGCCTACAGGCCAGAGAGTTCCAGGTTCGGTTTCCAGTAAGGGCACGTACATTGGTTGCAGTTTGTCCCCGGCCCTGGTTGGGGTCATGTAGGTGGCAACTTCTCGATCTGTCTTTCTCACATCAATGTTTCTCTCTCTCTCTCTTCCCCCTTCTCTCCCTCCCGCTCTATCTGAAGATAAATGTAAAAACGTCCTCGGGTGAGGATTTAAAAAAAAAAAAAAAAGAATAAAGGTGTCATAGAGATGGTACCAACTTTGCCTAATATTTGTATCTGCATGTTGAACTTGTGAGCTAATTTGGCTAGGTGAATGAGACCCAACCTATTCAATCTATCGGTAAATATTTTAAAAATTCCTTTTGTATTTTCTAATAATCATAGGTGTAATCATAAATACATTTCTTACATAAATCAGTCTCAGTCTATGTGTTTTAGGTATTTCAAGGAGTTAATGAACACACATTCATATCACAGGCAGACATACACACATACCTGTCATTTCGGTTTATTCCTATAGACTGACATTTAAACTTTTCTTTAACAGGAATCATCCTGATACAAGGTTTTAATGCAAAAGATTTTTCTCTTCATATTCTTGAGATGAGCCATCAGGAAGTAACTTATTCAACCCTGGCATTTCTTCAGTCTTCTTCAGAGTCACAAAATAGATTAAGGGCTGGTGGACCTCAAAGGCCTAGGGAAAGTGATGACAAAGGTATGTTTTAAGCATCTGGATTCACCTGTCTTTTGTGGATTGTCAAATTTTTCATGTTTGAAAATAAGTTTTTATCTGTACTTCAGGTTCTCAGGTGGTAATACAAAACCATAATGGATATAGTAATAGAACAAGTCTCTCTCTCTCTCTCTCTCTCTCTCTCTCTCTTTTTTGGTATTTGTGAGAGTGGAAAAATGAATGAATGTTTCCATTTTAATTTGACCAGAGGAATTATTGAGGCCTTTAAAAGTAAAGAGCAGCCCTGGCTGGGTGGCTCAGTTGGGTGGAGCATGGTCCCCAAACACCAAAAGATTAGGGGCTTGATTGCCAGTTGGGGTGCATACAGGATGCAACTGATCGATGTTTCTCTCCTACATCTATGTTTCTCTCTTGCTGTCTCTCTCTCTTCCTTCCTCTCTCTCTTAACTTAATTTAAAAATATATATGCTAAGGTGAGGATTAAAAAAAAAGTAAAGAACAGACCAGAATCTCAAGAAAACATTGCATTTCCTAGACAAATAAAAGTCTAAGAAAATATTTGGGATGAAAAATATTGTTTTATTCAGCAGAAAAGGTATTTTAGTTGTCTTTAATATTTACCAAACCTTGATGGCAATGAAGCTGCAAATATGTTCAAATCAAAAGAAGCATTTTAATTTTTCTGTTCTCTTGTTCTACTTTCAAATATTATTACAATTAAATTCTAAATTGAGAATACCTTTTACTATTTTAATAGAGTGATGATAAGAGATAACAGCTTTCAGATACTAAGGACACAAACACAAGGAAAAATATAATATTGTCTAGTGAAAAATAGAACAGAAAAAAAGGAAAGTTGATTTCTAGAAACATCTTTAAGGATGGACCCCAGTCACATTTGCAGCTTCAGAATGTCCACTGTTGGCTACCACTTTTTCAAGAGTGTTGGCTGCCTTTTTCTCTTCATGATTAGTTGTGATCACCACAAGGAGAACACATGCTAGTGTGGACTCTCATAAATGTGTGTGGTGTCTATTGTCATCTGTACCTTTGTAAGGGATGCGCTTTTGAAATCCTAGAGAAATGTTCTTGTGTATAGGATTTCTACAGTGGGTGTGCGTCAGTCAGAAATCTGAAACTTTAAACATGTAACTATTAGATTCCAAATTTAGGTCAATTTGTATGATATAAGTTTGTAAAATTTTCATAGAACATTTGTCCCTTTGTTTCAAATGGTGTCACCGTGAAGGTTAGTAGTGGGCCAAGCTCCACCCTTGATGGTTGTTTTTTCTTCTTTATTTCAAGAGTTTTCAGTATCCTGGCATCTCATTGCAATGGCTATCAGGATCCTCTGTTTACTTCTAATGGTGACGATCATAGTGCTGGGAATAAATTGTAAGTAGTTGAAATACATCCTACAAGTCTGAGTAATAGCAGTGATCACTAATTCCCAGATATTAACAATGTTCCATCAATTGTCCCCAGACTACACTAAGGGAATGTTTCAGAGGGCTCTTTCTCAGTGATTTCCCCCCAGACACATCACAGTGTTATTTTTATTTTACTTACCTATTCCAGTGATCTGCAGCTATAATGAGCTGTCTCATTCTTTATCATACATAGTAGTATTTCTTTTAATACAAGACTTGGTAATATTCTGCTTTCTGAGTTTAGATCATTGTGAATCTTCGATAAACATTCTTTGAGGAACAACTGTTCAAAAGAAGTTATGGCTTTCTCTTATTTTTCTAAGAATACAATGAAGAAATGATTTACTAAGAAGAGTGATTCTATACATGGGTGTTAGAATCTTGAATTCATCAACTTTTATTTTTATTTGAATTTCTTGATATTGTTAGAGAAAATCACTAATATAGTACACGCAGATAAAATGACATCTTTGAATCTTCCTCCTTTCTCCTGTGGATATTCTATCTCCTCTAATAATAACGGCGCTATTTCTTCATATTTCTTAGTGTAGATTTTCTTACTCAGATGATATGTTGCTAAATGTTGACTGACTTTCTTTGGCACCTATTTTTAAATAATGTGCTAACTATTTTTAAAATTTATGGGGGTGACACTGGTTAACAAATGATACAGGTTTCAGTTGTACAATAATGTGCTAGCTATTAAAATGAAACTAAGCCAAATGGCAAGGTGTTGCCATCATAAGTTTAGTCACATCTCTATTTTATTTATTCTATGCTTAAGTTGCTAATAGTAAGAAGTTTGCTGTTTCCATTTCTATGGTCAATTTACTGAAATGTTACTTTCTAAATGTAAAATTGCTAATTAAAGTAATGAAATGGGCTGGTTGTCAAAGTAAGACTTTTTTCTCTTTTCTTTAATTTCAACATTTAAGTATTATGAGTACAGTTTTGTATTAAATCTGTTCTATTAATTTTAGTTTTTCAGTGTAGTCAAGAAAAACATCAACAAGATGAAATTCTACAAAACCGCACGCAAAAGGATTACACTGTGCAAAATGAAAACTGCTTAACAAAGAACACTTTGACAAATAAGACTTTAGCATCTGATGATTTAAAAAATAAAACCCTTCAGCAGGAAAATAAACCAGCCTCACTCTTAATAGAAAAGAAATGTAGAAAAAAGGGAATCTTTGCAAAATCTTTGCAAAATACAGGTATGAAGGAAATCTTCCGTGAGAGATTGCATGATTTTTCATGATTTCTTCTGCAGAAGTTTCAAAGATAGTAACAGGCTTCTCATATATGCTAGTTATCTACCTCTACTGGAAAATTTTAATTTGTGCCTCATAGAAATAATATGTGTATTTGGGATTGCTTATTTTAATTATGGTATTGAGACCTCAGGAGTCATGTTTGGATTAGTAGACCCTTGTGTTTTCAAAAATTCCCTGGCAGTTCTTGCATTCCTACTGCTCCCAGAGGGTGGAATAGTGTATTAGCTCTCCTGAAAATTCAGATCATATTGGACCTGTGGGCAGAATAGTCATTTCTACTTTGTTGCTGACCTTAAATATAGATTTTATCAATAAAAATAGATAGGATGCAATGAGCGCACAGCCTTTTATTTGGATGCTGTTGTAGAGATAATTATGTGTGTGTGTGTGTGTGTGTGTGTGTGTGTGTGTGTGTGTGTTCCTTTCTGTCTTTACTTTCTAACTTGACTTCAGATTTTTGGACTTTTTGTGATCCCTCCAATACATCTGTAAGATTTATCATAGTGTTGATGTTTGTGTAACTCTGTGTGGTGATACTTGTAAAAACGTTGCAAGAGATAAAAATATTGATTTCATACAATAAATTTTGTTATTAAGCATACCAATGGAGTGCATTGACCTGGTTATCAACAATTAATACATATGTATTTAGGATTTAGACTTTATAAAGAGCTTTTGCATATTTAATCTCATTAATGCATGGGAATCAGTAGAAATTATTGTCTCTGTTATTAAAGCATGAATACTATTTTAAAATTTTGGTATATTGTAAAACATATGAGAAAAAGAAATAATTCCAAATAATGTTTCTTTAATTTAGAAGGCATTCCAGAAATTTATTTGAATGTTATTATTATTTAAGCAGCTTACTGAGGTGTTAATAATGTAAAATACTGTGGACATTTAATGTATACTATTTAATGAGTTTGGAAATATACATACACTCATTAAACCAACCGCAATAAGGGTAATATCTCCAAAGTTTCCTCATGACCCTTCTTTCTTTTTGTGGTAAGAACTCTTAACATGCAATCTATTCTCTTACCAAGTTTTTAAGTGCACACTGCAATAATATTAACTCTAGGCACTGTGTTGTACAGCAGAGGTCTAGAGCTTACTCATCTTGCATAAGTAAAACTTTACACCGATTGAGCCGCTGCCCATTTCTCCCTCCTTCCTACTTCCCCTGGTAATCACCATAATACTTTTTGTTTCTCTGAGTTTGACTATTTAAAACACCTCATGTAACTGGAATCATGCAGTATTTTTTCTGTATCTGGCTTATTTCATTTAGCATAATAACCTCCAGTTTCATCCATGTTGTTGCATATGGCAGGATTTCCTTCTTTTTAAGGCTGAATCATGCAAGTATATGTAGACAGCATTAAAATTTTTTTTTTCTTTATTGATTTGATTTTTGTTTTTATTTTATTTTATTTTATTTATTTATTTATTTTTTTAACCCTCACCCGAGGATATTTTTCCTTTTTTTTTTTTTGTACAGATAGAGTGGGAGGGAGAGAGAGGAAGGGAGAGAGAGAGAGAAACATCGACGTGAAGGGACACATCGAGTGGCTGCCACCCGCACAACCAACCAGGGCCGGGGACAAACTGCAACCGAAGTACGTGCCCTTAGCGGGAACCGAACCTGGGTCTCTCCAGACCGCAGGCCGACGCTCTAACCGCTGAGCCAAACTGGCCAGGGCTTTTCTTTATTGATTTGAGAGAGAAAGGAAGAGAGAGGGAGAGGGATAGAAACATCGATGAGAGAGAAATCATTTGGCAACCTCCTGCATCTCCCCCCCACTGGGGATTTGGTCCATAACCTGGGCACATGTCCTGACTGGGAATCAAACTGGCGACATTCAGGTGCATGGGTAAACGCTCAACCACTGAGCCACACTGGCCAAGCCATTTTTTTTTTTTTTTAAATGTGTTTATCTGTTGATGGACATTTGGGTTGTTTCCATATCTTGGCTATTGTGAATAATGCTACATTGAACATGACAGTGCAGATATCTCTTGGTATTCCAGAATTTTGATGAACCTCATACTATCATTATCAATAGCTATTAGGATTTTATTTCGTTGTGGAAGGCTGATAAATATATTGCTCTGCTTAAGAGAATGCCAGATAATAAGAAGTTTAATGTTTTACTTTATATGTTGTAGGCATGTCTGATGTAGAAATCTGGTCCTGTTGTGGAGCAAGCTGTTATTATTTTACCTTTGAAAATAAAAACTGGAAGGGATGTAAAGAGATTTGCCAAAGACATGGATTATTTCTTTTGAAGATAGATGATCAAGATGAACTGGTATCATGGACAACTATATTTTCTTTCATCTCTGGACTCTATCTCACACCCTCAGACCCAAGATATTGAGGACCGGGGGAGGGGTTCAGCAAAAGGGACCCTCAGTATCTTTTGTGTTGAGTGAGCAAAAATCAGTTGAGTCTCCCAGGAGACTCTGCCTGCTAATAGGAACAGGATCTTGCTATTTATTAAGCATTTGATACATATTATCCATAATGACCATTATTATGTCCAAAATGAAAATCCTTTTGAGGATGCAGTTTGGATCTTTGCAACCATCTTTCTTTCAAAAACAATAAAAACAACCCCTCACAGAGGAATATGCCTCACCTTTGATGAAGTACTTGATTGGTAAACACAGGCTGGAACCAGCAGTTATTTTTCCTAGTAATGTGGCAACTAAAATCCTGGTGTAACATGGTCTAGTATTTACTACAAGGAATCCAGGAGCCAGACTGCCTGTAGTTGGTTTCAGCTCTGGCACCTACTAGTTCAGTAATCTCTAGTGAATTACTTAATTTCTCTTGGCTTCAATTTTCCCACCTGCAAAATGGAGATAATGATGAGAAACAGAAATTTAACAATTTAGCCTCATAGTGATTTTCACTGCATCCGCAGGTAATATTTACTTGATCAATATTCTTATATATTATATCAGGATGTTTATCTTTCAAAAAGAATTTTATCACTGGCCGGTTTGGCTCAGCGGTTAGAGCTTCGACCCGTGGACCAGGGAGACCAGGGTTTGGTTCCCACTAAGGGCATGTACCTCAGTTTCAGTTTTTCCCTGGCCCCGGTTGGGGTTGTGTGGGTGGTGACCAGTTGATGTGTCTCTCTTACATCGAAGTTTCTCTCTCTTTCTTCCTCCTTCTCTCCCTCCTGCTCTATCTGAAAATGAATGCAAAAATGTCCTCGGGTAAGGATAAAAAAAAAATTGTAAAAGGATAAAATACATTAACAATATCAAAATTATATTTTTAATTTGTTACTAATAAAAACTATACACATACACACAATGTGTGTTTACAGAGAAATTTTTGCAAAGGTCAGCCTTGAAACATCTATTTATCATTTAGAAAAACAACACAAAATTTATGTACAAATCTAATAGATGTTTTAAATCATACAGAAAAAGTTATATTGCAAGTCATAAAATATTTTCTGTTCGATGCATTACAACACAGTTAAATTTAAACTGTATTTTATTTTATTATTATTATTTTTTTAATCCTCCCCCAAGGACATTTTTCCATATTTTGTTCAGGTAGAGTGGGAGGGAGAGAGAGGAAGAGAGAGAGAGAGAGAGAAACATCGACGTGATTGCCACCCGCACAACCAACCAGGACCGGGGACAAACTGCAATAGAAGTACGTGCCCTTAGCGGGAACCAAACCTGGGCCTCTCTGGACCGCAGGCCAACGCTCTAACCGCTGAACCAAACCGGCCAGGGCTTTAAACTGTATTTAAAAACACATGTCATCTAATCAGACATATATGTCACTTTGATACATTACATTTTTAATTTAATTTTTATTGTTCTATTTTTTAGAGTATTACGTATATCACCTCATTTCCCCCCATTGCCACCCTCCTCCCCACTATGCAGTGCATTTTTAGACTAGTAAAGATTTCTAAATTCTGCCCCTTCCAACTACTAAACTAGAGCAAGGCTTCCTCTTAGGACGCGGAAGGCTCTAATGCACACCTCCCACCTCCGCTTGTTATTTGAATGCATTTGTTTGGAGATTCCTTCTTTCACTTAACAATATGTCATAATTATTTTTCTATATTCTTAAGGATTTTTTTTTTTGGAGCATGCTTTTGAATCATTTTATGAAGTGTCATACATTATTTAACAAATCAATTTTAGATATTTAGATTTTAATTTTTTTTCATGTTTTAAATAATCTATGACACTGGCAGGCATTTTTAACATAAATACTACTCTAGGAGAAAATTATGTTGGAAAATGAAAATACAGAGATTGAGGGAAGAAAAGGCTCTTTAGGAAGGGGGTAAGCAAGATGACGTCGGGGGCAGCAGAGTCCGGGCCACCCAATCAGCTGGCCGCTCTTCCTATCCTCTCCAGTCTTCTAACAGATGGAAATTTAGTCACATGCTATGTTTTGATTCCTTTATAGGTCTTCCTTCAATCCCAGGTTTATCAAAATAACTACTGGATTGGATTATCATATAATGACAAGGAGAGCAAATGGGAATGGATTGACAAGGGCACACCTAGACTGTAAGTTTCTGGAATATATTCCAAGTCTAACATTGGTTGGAAGTATTATGTCTAAAGAGGGTCTTCTCTCATTTCACACAGTTTAACTAATTTTCAAGTAGAAATCGTCAGTAAAAATAAGTAGAATGATTAAGAAAGTGTTTTAAGAAGTATAGTTAAAAAGGAAGTGTCATACAGAGTTATTAATGAAATTATGATGCCAACACATGCTCAGAAGAATGTGTGTTATGAGGTACACAGAAATTTAAAAAATCATACAGTGATATAAATGATTGGATCATCCTGATTTAGCCATAATGATCCTCCCATAACCACAGATGACTCTTTTGAGTATCCCCAAAATTCATCTGAAACTCCTTTCTTTTATTAGTTTACATTTATATGTTCATATATTATTTATAAATAGAAATTGATTTCAGTATTCACACACACACACACACACACACACACACACACACACACACCTTCACTATAGTATTATTAAGAGTTTTTTTGTTTGTTTTCAAAAAGTCTTTTTCCTACACTGATTTTAGAGAGAGAGGAAGTGAGAGGGAGAGAGAGATAGAAACATTGGTGAGAGAGATTGCCTCCTGCATACCCCCTACTGGGGATTTGGCCCACAACCAGGGCATGTGTCCCGCCCGGGAATCGAACCTGTGACCTCCTGGTGCATGGGTCAATGCTCAACCACTGACTCACACCAGACAGACTATAATACTATTAAGAAGTATAGTATTTCATTTTATTCATTCATTTATTTATTTATTTATTTATTTATTTATATCCTCACCCGAGGACATTTTTCCATTTTTTGTTCAGATAGAGTGGGAGGGAGAGAGAGGAAGAGAGAGAGAGAGAGATAGAGAGAAACATCAACGTGAAAGGGACACATTGAGCGGCTGCCACCTGCACAATCAACCAGGGCTGGGAACAAACTGCAACCGAGGTACATGCTCTTAGCAGGAACCGAACCCAGGTCTCTCTGGACCACAGGCCAACGCTCTAACCGCTGAGCCAAATCGGCCAGGGCTCATTTTATTTTATTAATTTATTTTTGTTACAGATATTTCTCCTTTTACCCCCTTTGACACCCTCCTCATCATCCCTCCACCCCCGCCTCATCGCCAGCTTTGTAGTCTATGTCCATTGGTTATCCATACATGCATATAAATTCTGTGGTTTATCTCTTCCCTCTCCCCCAACTCCCTCTTCTGAGGTTTGTCAGTCTGTACCCTACTTCCACGTCTCTGGGTCTACCCTCCCCGTCAGACTGTTATGTTTATTAAATTCCACAAATAAGTGAGATCATATGATATTTATCTTTCTCTGCTTGGCTTGTTTCACTTAGGATAATACTCTTCAGGTCCCTCCATTTCGTCTCAAAGGATAAGAGATCTTTCTTTCTTACAGCTGCATAGTACTCCATTGTGTATATATACCACCACTTTATTATCCACTCATCTACTGATGGACTGTTTCCAGGTCTTAGCTATTGTAAATACTATTGCTCTGAGCATAGGGATGCATATATTCTTTCTGATTGGTGTTTCAGGCTTCTTAGGGTATGTTCCTAGAAGTGAGATCACTGGGTCAAATGGCAATTCAATTTTTAATTTTTTGAGGTAACACCATAGTTTTTTCCACAGTGGCTGCACCAGTCTGCATTCCTACCAGCAGTGTACAGAGTCACCTTTTCTCCACACCCTTGCCAGTACTGGTTGCTTGATGATTTGTTGATGGCGGCCATTCTGACGGGTGTGATACTCATTGCTGTTTTAATTTGCAGCTCTCATCTCTGATGATTCGTGATGCTGAGCATTGTTTCATATGTCCCTTGGCCATTTGTATGTCCTGTTTGGAGAGGTGCCTATTTAGATACTCTGCCCATTTTTTAATTGGGTTCTTTGTCTTCCTTTTGTTGAGTTATATGAGTACTCTATATATTTTGGAAATTAACCCCTTATCTCATGTATCATTGGCAATTATGCTCTCCCATATAGTGGGTTTCCTTTCCATTTTGATGGTTGTTGCTTTTGCTGAGCAGAGGCTTTTTAGTTTGATGCAGTCCCATGTGTTCATTTTTTCCTTTGTTTCTCATTTCTTAGGCGTTGCATCAGTGAAAATTCTGCTGCATACGGTGTCTGAAATTTTGTTGCCTACAATTTCTTCTAGGATTTTTGTGGATTCATGAGTCACATTTAAGTCTTTTATTTATTTTGAGTTTATTCTTGTGTATGGTGTAAGTTGGTGGTTTAGTTTCATTTTTTTTGCATGTAGCTGTCCAATTTTCCTAACACCATTTATTGAAGAGGCTGTCTTGACTCCACTGTATGCTCTTGCCACCTTTGTCAAATATTAATTGAGCATAATGTCTTGGGTCAATGTCTGGGTTGTCTGTTCTGTTCCATTGATCTATATGCCTGTTCTTGTGCCAATACCAGGCTGTTTTGATTATAGTGGCTTTGTAGTATAACTTGATATTTGGTATTGTGATCCCGCCTACTTTGTCCTTCTTTTTCAAGATTGCTGTGGGTATTCAGGGTCTTTTTTGGTTCCATATAAACTTTTGAAGTATTTGTTCTAGTTCTGTGAAGTATGTCATTGGTATTTTTATGGGGATTGCATTGAATCTATAAATTGCTTTGGGTAGTATGGACATTTTAATAATGTTAATTCTTCCAATCCATGAACATGCTATATGCTTCCACTTTTTAATATTTTTCTTTATTTCTTTTTTCAATGACCTGCAGTTTTCTGCAAATAGGTCCTTTACTTCTTTGGTTAAGTTTATTCCTAGGTATCTTAATTTTTTTGCCATGATGGTAAATTGAATTGTTTTTTTAGTTTCTCTTTCTATGAGTTCATCATTGGTGTATAAGAATGCCATCGATTTCTTGATATTAATTTTGTATTTTGCTACTTTGCCAAATGCATTTATTAAGTTTAGTAGATTTTTTATGGAGTTTTTAGGGTTTTCTATGTACAATATCATGTCATCTGCAAAAATGACAGTTTCAATTCCTCTTTTCCAATTTGAATCCCTTTAATTTTTTCTTCATGTCTTATTGCTGTGGCTAAGACTTCCAGTACTATGTTAAATAAGAGTGGCAAAAGTGAGCATCCTATCTTGTTCCTGTTTTTAAGGAAAATGCCTTTTGTTTTAGCCCATTAAATATGATGTTGGCTGTAGGTTTTTCATATATGGCCTATATTATGTTGAGATATGACCCCTCTATTCCCATATTACTGAGCATTTTTATCAGAAATGGGTGCTGGATTTTGTCAAATGCTTTTTCAGCATCTATTAATTAGAACATATGGTTTTTATCTTTCATTTTATTTATGTGGTGGATCACATTTATTGATTTGCAAATATTGTACCATCCTTGCATCCCTGAGATGAATCTCACTTGGTCATAATGAATAATTTTTTTGATGTTTTGCTGGATCCAATTTACTAGTATTTTGTTAAAGGTTTTGGCATCTGTGTTCATCAAGGGTATTGGCCTGCAGTTTTCATTCTTTGTAGAGTCTTTATCCGCTTTTGGAAGTAGGATTATGCTGGCCTCAAAATGAGTTTGGAAGTCTTCCGTCTTCTTGGTTTTGGAATAGTTTGAGGAGAATGGGTATTAGTTCTTCTTCGATTGTTCGGTAAAACTCCCATGAAGCCATCTGGGCCTGGGCTTTTGTTTGCTGGGAGTTTTTTAATTACATCTTCAATTTCCTTTGTTGTTATTATTCTGTTCAAGTTTTCTATCTTTTCCCTGTTCAATTTTGGGAGACTGTGTTTCTAGACATTTGACCATTTCATCTAGATTGTCCAATTTCTTTGCGTGTAATTGTTAACAGTATGTTTCAATGATCCTTTGTATTTCTGTGGTGTCAGTTGTTACTTCTCCTTTTTCTTTTCTGATTTTGTTTATTTAGGTCCTCGTTTTTTGTTTCTTGGTGAGTGTGGCTGAAGATCCATCGATCTTGTTTATCTTTTTTTTTTAGTCTCTATGTTGTTTATTTCTGCTCTGACCTTTACTATTTCATTCCTTCTACTTGCTCTGGGTTTTTCTTTTTGTTTACTTTCTAGTTCTTTAAGTTGTACCCTTATAAAGTCAATTAGGGATTTTTCTTGTTTCTTGAGGTGTCTAGCTGTGGGTCTTCTGGGGTTCATCTTGGTACTCTCTGTGTTTCTTGGACTTGTGTGACTTTTTCCTTCACCAGTTTAGGGAAGTTTTCTGTCATTATTTCTTCAAATAGGTTCTCTATTTCTTTCTCTGATTCTTCTCTTTCCAGTACCCCTATAATGTGAATGTTGTTACATTTTTTATTGTCCCACAGCTCCCTTAAACTCTCCTCCTGGTTTTTAATTATTTTTTCATTTGCTGCTCTATTTGGGTGTTTTTTGATTATTTGTTTGGTTTTTTTTATCTTGTCTTCTAAGTTGTCTTCGGTCTTCAACTTCTAATCTTCTATTGAACCCTTCTAATGTATTTTTCATAACAGCTATGTTATTCTTTTTTCCCTCTTGATTTTTATGCATAGTTTTTACCTCTTTTTTTTAAGCTGAAGTAGTTCCCAGTGAGCTCTTCATAATTCTTATTAAGTTGCTTGTAGTTCTCACCAAATTGTTTGAGTACCCTTAAAATTATTGCTTTGAATTCTTTATCTGACAATTTGCTTTCTTTCATTTCCTGTAGTTCCTTTTCTGGTGATTCCTTTTTTTCTTTTATTGGGTGTTGTTCCTTTGTCTCACCATTTTAGCAATCTGGTAGTTCTAGGCCCTGTGAGGGATGTTGTGTGTAGGCAGGTTGGTGTGTATCAACTAAGGCTGCTGTGCCTCCCAGACTGTTTTGGTGTATGGCACCTCTTGCCTGCTGTGGGTCCTGGAGGACTGACACCTGGCAGCTGGTATTGGTCTGTCATACAGGTCTCGGCTCCCCCAGTCTTGCTGCTGCTTGGCCTGGGGCACCACTCTTGATCAGCCTCTGCTGACGCCGCTGGGGATG